TAGGTCCATTTTTTTTTTTTTTGGACTCATCATTAACTTTTGGAATTAAAAATAAGCTAAAGATAAGAACTATCTTACACTATTATACAGAATCCCATATAATTATGGCTTGTTTAGTATTTCCCAAACTCTTCTGTCTTACAGACCAGGAAAACATACTGACCAGAACTGAGACTGGTATATAGAAATTAATTTTTTGGTTTGTCAAAGATAACATTAAAAAATTAATAACCTATCGCTAGGATTTCATTTAATAAGGACATTTTAATAGCAAAACTTTTCATGATAAAAGACTCATTGGTTGTCCTTTATGAGCCTCACTTTGGTGCATCGATTTTTCTCATCTTTCTACTGATGGGCAAGAATTTCTGCACCAGCTCACGGTGGGTTCATAATCCAGTATTTGTTTTTCCTGGTTTTCCCCCTATTTTCCCCATCCCCCATCAGCTGGTTCATTAACCAGGGGTGGCCCACGTGTCCATCAAAATACTCGTTTCCCCTCCCAAAGGACCCATCAGCTGGTTCATTAACCAGGGGTGGCCCACGTGTCCATCAAAATACTCGTTTCCCCTCTCAAAGGACCCATCAGCTGGTTCATTAACCAGGGGTGGCCCACGTGTCCATCAAAATACTCGTTCCCCTCCCAAAGGACCCGTCAGCTGGTTCATTAACCAGGGGTGGCCCACAGGTCCATCAAAATACTCGTTTCCCCTCCCAAAGGACCCCCACCACCTTTGCAAGCTGTCTTCCTCCACACTTCCTCCCCCATCTTCCTCCAGGCTTCTTGAGCTCCACCATTTCCTTGAGACCCAACTCACATCTTTTATCGCCCACGATCTTTTTTAAAGTGAAGCCTTTCAGAGAACCTTTAGTCAGTTCTTATTTTCAAGAAACTAAACTAAATCCTCCTAGCTTGTCAGGCTTTTTACCATGTTTGTCCAACAACTAAAATGGTTTTCCCCCTAAGAAAATTTATGCCAACACTATCTTAAATGTCTTTTCTTCCTGATGAAAACAAACAAAAAGACTGTCTGAACTAAAAGACGAATTCAGTGAAGCTGCAGGATACGAAGTAAACACGCAGAAATCAGTTGTTTCTGTAGGTGAACAAGAGCAACCCAAAGATGAAGAAATGGTTCCATTTGTAGCAGCATCAAGAACAGGAATAAACTTCACCAGGAAAATGAAACACTTGTATACTCAAAACTATAAAATTACAAAATGAAAAACTGAAGACACAAAAGAAATGGAAAGACATTCTGGGTTCACGGATTGGGTGACAATATCACTAAGATGTCTTTACTGTCCAAAAGGATCTACAGATTCAATGCAACCCCTACAAAAATCTAACAACACTTTTGCAAAACCAGAAAAATTCCCCTGAAAATTCATAGGCAATCTCAGGGACCCCCAACCAGCCAGAACAATCTTGAAAAAGAACAATGTTGGAGGCCTCACACTTCCTGATTTCAAAACACACACCAAAGCTATAGTCATAAACGTAGCTTGGTACTGACATAAAGACAGACATATGTAGGGGGCACCTGGCCGGCTCAGTTGGAAGAGCATGTGACTCTTGATCTCAGGGTCTTAAGTTCGAGCCCCACACTGGGCGTAGAGATTAGTAGAATGAATGAATGAATGAATGAATGCTTAAAAAAATAAATAAGACGGACATATAGACCAATGGAAAAGAACAGAGAACCCATAAACCCCTCATATATGGTCAAATCGACCATTCCACGGAGGATGGCACTTGGGAACAAATGGCACTTGCAAAACTGGCATCCACATGCCAAGGCATGAGTTTGAGCCTCCCTACCTTATGGACCAAAGATTTAAATATAAGAACAAAACTATAAAAGTCTTAGAGAAAACCTAGGGGAAAAGCTTCGTGACATCGGGTTTGGCAATGATTCCTTGGATATGGCAACGAAAGAAAACTAGATAAACTGGGCTACATCAAAATGTAAAACTTATGCGTGAAGGGGACACTATCAAGAGTATGTGAGGGCTGCCCACAAAATGGGAGAAAGTGTGTGTAAATCCTAGAAGTAGGTGTAAATCCTGTAAGAGGTCAGTATCCAGAATATATAACATCTTTCTACTGATGGGCAAGAATTTCTGCACCAGCTCACGGTGGGTTCATAACTTAAAAAAATCCAACAACCCAGTTAAGAAATGGACAAAAGATCTGAATAGATGTTTCTCCAAATGGTCAGTAAGCTCATGGAAAGATCCTCAAAATCACTAATCACAAAGAAAATGCAAACCCAAACCTCAATGAGATGGACGCCACCCTACCCCCATTCGGACAGTTGTTACAACAAAGAAAGGAAACAAGCGTTGACAAGGATGTGGAGAAATTGGAACCCGTGTACACCACCGGTCAGGGTGTAAAATGGTGCAGTTGCTGGGGAAAATTGCATGGCAGTCCTTCAAAAAATTCAACACAGAATGACCATAAGATGCAGCAACTTCACTTCTGTGCATATTCCCAAAGAACCGAGCACTGGAGTCCCAACAGATACTGGCACACCCACGCTCATGCAGCGCTATCCACAATGACCAAAAGCACTCCGTCGGGTGAGACGATGAACAAGATGCCGTATATAGATGCAACACAGGATTATTCAGCTTTAAAAAGGAAGGAAACATTTTCACATGCTGTAACACAGACGCACCTTGAGGATGGATGCTGGGGGAAGTACGCCGAGCACCACTGGACAAATACCATATGGTACTACTTACAGGAAACTCGCAGAGTAGACACATCCACGGGACACAAAGTAGAAGCAGAAACTGCCGGGAGCGGGGCGGGGGGAGGCGGGGCTTGTGTTTAATGGAGGCAGTGTGTCCTTTTGGGAAGATGAAAAAAAGTTCTAGAGAAGGGAGGGTGGTGGGGGTTACACGAGCATGTGAATGCTGGACACTTAGAAACGGTTAAAGTGGTGAATTTTATGTATATTCTTCCATAATAAAAGTGTCTAATAAGAGTACTTAGCTTGCAACATGCTTGGGGAACCTGGGGCACACGCCATGGGGGGCCCTCCGTAAACAGACCCGGTCTCTGGCCTCCCCGCTCCAGGTGCCCGACCTTCCCACTTACAGACGGAGTGCAGAAGGTGCAGGAGCTCCCGCTGAGGAACACTCTTCTGCCCTCACTGTTCCAAGGCTGGTTTTCCTAGAAAGCGGGGGGCAGTGCCGAGGGCATGGTGTGAGCGAGCCTGGCCCAGAGCCCGGGGCCCTCAGTACACCAGCCTCCCTCCAAATACCGACCACACGAGTCCACCACCCCCGTGTTCCACAGCTGACTCCCCATCTCTGAGCTGGGAGCCCCTTCTCTGTGAAGGGGAGGTCCCCCCCCCCGTTCAGGGCTCAGGGACCACCTACCTCCCAGGACCGGTGACCCGTGCAGCAGCCCCACCTTGTGGCCACCCGCAGCCATCGCCCCTGCTTCCCAGGCGCAGACTGGGACGCCACCCCACCCCCATCCCGTAGGGTGGTCACCTCCCTTGGTCGCCTCCGCTTCTTCGGGCACATCTTGTTACACCCCTTGGACTGGACTTTGTGGGGACACGGCATGACATCAACTGCAGGCTTCCCCCCGTGCTGGCCTGGGGCATCGGGGGACGAGGGACAAAGGCAAGGCCTGGAAGGGCTCTGAGTCCCCGCCCTGAAAGGGGTCTTGCCGGGCAGGCAAGTCTGAGTTGTGGGAAGGCGTCCTCCTCGCAGCAGACGGAGTGCTTCCCGGTGGAGTGAGTCCTTTTAAATTCAGAATCCTAGTTTTACAGCGTGGGCCAAAGCCCCGTCCCACTTCTCACCCTCGGACACAACGCCTTGTGCTCGGGAAGCCCCCCTCCCCCATGTCCTCCAGGGCAGGCTCTTCTGCCTTGTCCACTCCACCCGCAGGATGGAGGAGGCCAAGCTGGGGGGGGGGGGGGGGGGGCGAGGCCTCCGTGCCGCCCGCCGTCCCCCCGCCCCACGCACACAGATGACCCGGCAGCAGCCCCGAGGCGGGGAAATCAAGCCCAAGGGACCAGATTCGAGGGCCTGTTGCATACCGTCAGAGTCGGGACCGGCCTTCCTTGTCACCATCGCAGGAGTTCCGAGCTGAGACCCCCCCCAGGTGTCATCTGCTTGTCACCAGAGAACCACCGAGTGTGGCCCCGGTCGGCCCCGGGGCTCGGTCTCCGAGGGGCTGAGGGAACACCTCACAGAAACAAGCATTTCCACACACATAAGAGATGACACGTCCTTTTACAAAATATTTATTCTAAAAAAATCACACTGTACAAATTTAGATAGAACATTCTCAATGTTCCTATTTATAAAAATGTGAACATAACAGACTGGAGTGAACCGACAAACTTTTGTGGCTGTTTTCTTTTTAAATTAGGCAGGAAAAAAGTGTTTTTCCAAGTACAATGATAGTAAACGTCTCGAAGGCGCCCAAGAACCAGCCGATGAAAAGCGTACCATTCCCCTGCTGCTCCCCGCGCTCACGCTCTCCCAGAGGACTCTGGACCCCACGCACAGGACAGGCGCTCCCACGGGCCGGAGGAGGCCTTGCTGAGCCGCGTCAGCCGCTCAGAGATCCCAGAGCCGGTTCCACACAGCATAGAAGTTTGTGCTTAGAGAAAAGCCAGCACAATTTGTTCATAATTTCCTGTTTCTCTAACAAAGTGGGTTTTCTGTACACTTGTTACAAAGTCTGTACAAAAACACAAAGCTCCTGTGAGGCGTTACTTCTGAGTTAAAAACGGACGATTAGAGAACCATCTTCTACAGTTCACGCTATACATTCACAGAGGGAGAAACACGATGAAAAATTCACGAAGAAATTCCGGGCCAGGGGATCCTGGTTTCTAGAAGGGGACCGCAGAAGCTCGGATGTCTCCGCTCTGCCCTTGCTGACGGCCCGGCCCCCGTCCCGGGCGGGCAGCGCCCCTCGGGCCACGTCTCCTGATCCCGCTGCGGGCCCCAGGCCGAGAGGCGCCTCACAGCCACGGGTGCCAGGCGGGGTCCATGCGGCACAGGTTGTCCAGGCTGTTGGCAGCGGCCACCAGCGTGTTCACTTTGCTCTCCCCACCTTCAAACTGGGCCAGGTTGTGCAGGCGGGTCATGATGGCCGTGACCGCCTTCTGCACCAGGGAGACCAGCTGCTGGCTGTCCATGTTCTCAGGCTGTCCAGCGGCCGAGAGCGGAGAGGAGGTGTCCTCCTGCGTTTTTTTGTGCCAAGCGATGATCTCGTCCCGAAGCACCGTTTTCAGAATGCCGTCCACCTGCAAGGAGAGAGAAGAAAATGGTGCTGGCTGAACCAAGCGCAACCCGGAGGGGCGGCTTCCTAATGAGGCTGGGCCTGGCCACGGCGAGCCACAGAGCCCAGGGCCTCGTTGATGCACCAGGGAAGCCGCCTGGGGTCCAGCAGTGGCCACAAGGCACAGCGTTTTGGTCTGAGCAGGGCACACGTGTCCCATGGCACCTGCTCCTGACACACTGCTTCCTGGTGCCAAATGTCTGTTTCACTCCACGCATCTGAGCACCTGTCAAGGGCCTGTTCCTGGCACTGCAGCCAAGAGTGAACAAAACAGAAACACCAACAGCCCCTTGCCCTTAGGGGGCTTTGCTCCTGACAAAGACAAGCCAGACATGCCCTGTGGTGATGGGCACTGAGCAGAAACAGCAGGTGAGCCGGGCTCGGAGCGGTTCTGGGCGGGGGGTGGGGGGGTTTGCTGGTGACGAGGTCACATTTGGGCTGAGATAGGAAGGAATCAAGGACTCAAGGCATGGGGCTGTCACACGACCTGTTTCTCGGGCCAAGGAGAGCCACCCTGGGCCTCCCTGTGGCCACAGCACAGACTCTGGGTTCTAGCCCCAGCTCTACCACTTCTGGCCTGGGTGGCCTTGGGAGAGTTACTGAGCCCTCTGTGCCTCAGTTTCCCCATTTATATACAGGGCATAGTAATAGAGCTTCCCAAACATGTTTTTAGAAGAGATTCCCATACAAAATGGTCTACATTTTAGCCAACCTACACAGGCATTCTCTACATTTAGGCTGTTAGGGAATTTGGGTCCAGAGTTTGGAGACAGCCCGATTCTTTCCCGTCTACACTGCATTGTCTACACAAAGAGTAACGCATGGCATCATCCAAGTTGTTACAGGCCTTTGAAATATGAGGAGCCACCTTCATTCTTTTTAAAGTTTCCAAATAAATGGCATGCTAGGACCGCCCTATGATTGCTTCTGGGAGTGTAACATTTTGGTCTACATGAGGACTTCCTATTTCAAGCCTTATGCCGCAGGTAGGTGACCGTGAACTCGCGGCATCAAAACACAGACTGCTCCTCACGGAGAAATCCCGGGGCTATTTTTACTCACGTTCATACTTATGCTTTCCCCAAGAAGCAATCCCCACTGATGGACACGTGCAACTGAGCACTGAAAAGCACAAGACGTGTACAATGTAAAGTCTGTGCTCCCAGTTAAGCAGTTAGCTAATAATTTGAAAATTTCTCTGAGTAAACACTTTTGGAAAGCAACTGGTACCTGAAGACCTCTTGAGACACAAACAGCTCATCCATGGAAAAAAAGAAAAAAGAAAAGAGGCACAAGTGATCTCTCCAGTTAAAGAAAGCGACCTGCGTTCAGTCCCCCGTTGTGAGGGGAGAATTACTCTGGTGGTGAAGGCAGGCTGGGAGTCAGTGTGAACTGGATTCGAATCCCAGGCTGCCCTCCCTAGTGGCCTGAGCCCTGACAGCCGCTCGCCTTCCCTGCCCTCGCTCCCGTCTGTACGGCCGCCCGGAGCAGCTGACGGGAAGCCACCCAGCAGCCAGGGATGGGCGGCTGGGGGAAGGCAGCGGGGCCCCTGGCCTGTCACGGCAACAGAGCCACCCCACGGCTTCCCGTGGCCGACAGCGTCCGTCGCGTCTCCCACCTGGGACTCCAGGGTGTGCCCTGCACGTCACAGCCCTTTAGGCCCCATAACCACAGCATGAGTAAGACGGGCACCATCCTGCGGACACACCTCCGCCCTTCTATTTTTAGGTAATCTCTACGCCCAGCACGGGGCTCGAACTCGCTGCCCGGAGATCAGAGGTCGCGCGCTCTACTCACGGAGCCAGCCAGGCGCCCGGTCTTCCGCCCTTTTATAGTGGAAAGATTTACATACACGCAAAATGGAAGGCAGCTATGAAACCAAGTAAACAAAACCGACAAGCAACAGTCATCACTGGGAAAATCATCCAATAGAGACTTCCAAGTCCTTTGTGTAAAACTGGTTCCTCAACATCCTAAATGCTTTCAGACAGTCAACATTTTGAAACGCTTTTTCCAAAAAGCAGCAGCTTGAATTGCGCAGTAACAACGAGCTTTCTCCCCCCCTTACTAGCCGACCAGCAGCCTGCAGGCCGCGCGGTGTTCGAGTGACCCGTGTGCAGTGCGCCAGCCATCGTGGCCTACCTTGAAGTTGGGCTGGGCGAAGCACCGGGCCACGGCAATCATGGAGGCCGTCAACGGGCCGGAGACGCCTATGGTGGTCAGGAATTCGGAAATGTTGGGGGTGAGGCGGAAAGGGACGGGGCGGTTGGCATCCAAGTCTCCGGTTGCGTCGTTTATATCAAACCGAAAGTAGGCCACATTCAGTTTGCCGGTGTCCTAAACACCAGAAGGAGACAGTCTCAGAACTCACACAGCACGATGCAGACACTAAAGGAGAGGCTCTGTCTGGTGACACCCAATTACCTGAGCGATCTGTAACATCTCGGGATTGAGTCTATTCAAATGCAAGACGAATTCTGCAAAACCAATGAGTGCGAGCTGGATGGTGAACATCTTCCGGAACGTCCAGTAGTCCGTGGCGTTGGGGAACGTGTGCAGAGCCCACTCTTTCAGCATGCTGCGTGGCACCATGTTACTCTGAACTTCTTTGAGGATGTCTCGAAGGACCTGAAATGATATATCACTCCACCATAGCTTCCCTCGAACTTGTTTTTTTTTTTTCAAAAGGAAAACTCTCAAATTGTAATTTTGTACTTACTTGGCACCAATAAAGTGAATTCTGTTGACAAATACATATGTGATGTCATTTGACTAAACACGGGAATGTCAATTTTCTTCTAGGGCTCACGTCGTATGCTTAAAGCAACAACAGAGCCATCGAAAAAAAGCCTTAGCTGCACGATGTGTGGTATTTGTTTTACCAAGAATTTAGATAAAATCCAAATACTGTAACTTGTTAACTACAGAATATAACTAGACCACTTTACAAAAAGAACAAACGAATAGTTGGATACCAACACTTCATACCTAAGACCGCTAAAAACAAAAGTCTTATAAACTGAAGGAGCTAGTTTCTCAAAGCAGAGCAGATGTTACACAACACTTTACACTGAATTCTGTGCTGGAAGTCTCGTAAGACTATTTCAACACCACAAATTCAGAGACAGTCTCAATAAAAAGTTTACTAGAGTTAATTTAGTTCTTGTTAGACCAAATGGTAAAGGCACAAGGTCTGTTCTGGGCTAAGTTCTACCCATGGGCTCTGAGAAGCCACTAGAATGCAGGCCCTAAGCAACCAAGAACGATGCAGACCATTAAGAACACTAGCACAAATCATAAACTTAAAAAAAAAAAAAAACCAAAAAAACACTTTTATATAAACTTTGGAAAACTTTAAATTCTGGAAATTAAAGGCTTACAACAATCTGAGTAGCTTTTATTCAAGAAAGAAAGGCTGAATCTTAGTGACAGTGAGCTTTGCAGCAGTTTAATTACACTATTCCCATCCCCTTTTACCCATCTCCACACTGGCCTTGAAAAGCAACAACTTTGCAACCATGGCAGCTGTAGAAACCGGCAGCCTAACATCCACTGGCATGGGCGAATGCGTTTAGTGAGCCCCCGCAAACCTCATCTCCAGAGAATTATCACTATTTAACTGGCAGCTTCCTGAAAAAAGCCCCATTCACTGGGCTTGTCTGTTGGACTGAACTCAAGAGTTCAGTCAGTGAGGAGCATCCTATTTCAATTGAAGAGCATCTGCTAAAAACAATCACCGACAACCATTTAATGCTGTAGATGCCCGAGGCAGCGATACCAGCTGGAGCACAAAAGATGAGGGCAAACAAGAAGAAGAGCTAGGGAATGAGACGACCACAAGAGGCTTTGAAAAGCTTCAACATATTCCTACGAATCTAGAAGATCACTTGTATGCTCATGAGAAACCTCAGAAAGCCCTATGCTCTCACATGTCGTTGACCGTGAGACTACATAAACAGGAAGTGAAAGCTAAGGCAGAGATGTAAATTACTTGGACATGTTGAAGGCACCCCCCCACCACACAAACAAGAGGCCCTCAAAAAGGGGGAAGACTTACTCTGCTTCAAGGAATTTAAGAAAATCTCTGTCAAATCATTAGCTAGCTGAGCAGAGATTTCAATGGCTGCACATGACAAAAACAGACTTTACAAATTAGTCCAGGAAAGTCACTGAACAAACAGCAACAATTACAAGCCTTGGGGAAAATTATCTGATTTCTGGAGTTGTCACCTATTATTAAAAATACCAATTTTTCAACAAAAAATCATGAGAAAAATGAAGTAACAGGAAAACATAGCCAATACACAGTAAATAAAGTGAAATCACTTACATCTAGAACATACAAAGAATTCTTAGAGTCAATAATAGAAAGACAAATCATATAATTTAAAAATGAGCAAAGGACCTGAATAGACATTTCTCCAAAGAAAATATGCAAATAGCCAATTAGCACATGAAAAGCTGCTCAATATCACTTGTTATCAACCAAAATGAATGAGAATGACTATAACCAAAAAGAATAATAACTACTGGCAAGAATGCAGAGAAAAGAGAACCCTTATACACTGCAATCCCCTGGGAAAACAGTTTGGCAGTTGATGTAATGTTAAACATAAAACTTACCATGTGACCCATCAATTCTACTCCTAGGTATATGTCCAAGAGAAATGAAAACATACGTCCACACAGAAACATATACACGAATGTTCATCGTCATCAGCACTGGTCATAAGTCCAAAAGTATAAATAATCCAAAAGCCCACCAACTGACAAACAAATTAAATGTGGTATAGTCACACAAGGGAATATTATTAAGCAATAAAAAGGAACAGACTACTGATACATGCTATAAAATGGGTAAACCAGGAAAACATTATGCTAAGTGAAAGCGAGCCACAAAAGAGCACATACTGTAGGATTCCTTTCATATGATAATGAAGAATAAGCACATTCACGAGACCGAAAGATTCGTGGTTTCCAATGTCAGGGGGCAGAGAGAAATAGAGAGTACAGTTAATGGGTATGAGGCTTCTTTCTGGGGTGATGAAATGTTTTAATTTTTTTTTTCTTAAGTAAGCTCCACGCCCAATGTGGGCTTGAACTCCTGACCCTGAGCTCAAGAGTCGCATGCTCTACTGACTGAGACAGCCAGGCGCCCCTGGGGTGGTGTCAACTGCACAACTCTGTGAATATGCTGAAAACGCTGAATTGTACATTTTATTTTATTGTATTTGGGGGGGTGGAAAAGGAGAGACAGACTCTTAAGCAGGCTCCACGCCCAGCATGGAGCCTGATGTGGGGCTCGATCTCTCAACCCTGAGATCATCACCTGAGCCGAAAGCAAGAGCTGGATGCTTAACCAACTGAGCCACTCAGGGACTCCTGAACTGTACATTTTAAAGGGTGAATTTTCTGGCAAGTAAATGATGTCTCAATAAAGGTATTAAAAAAAAGGCAAAGGATGAAGAAGCAGAGTTAGTAAGGAAACAAGCAAGGGTACAAAGAGTAAGAAGGGGTCATGACGCTGGCTTGTTTCGTGCTGTTGTCAGCATCTCTAGCTGGCCCACCAGGACCCCACGCGGTCTCTAAGCTGAACCAACCATCACCTTCATCAGTCACAGAGCCGATTATAAAACACTAGGGGATCCTCATGTCAGCAAATATTTGCAGATGGAGGTCATCAGTTTCCACCCTGTCAAAGGCAAATGCAGCCTGAAGAATACAATCCATTCATCTCCCACAAACACGTCAGAACTGTCCTTGGTCCACAGAGTGACCAGGCAGTGGCCTGTGACCTGATGAAGCCAAGACGCCAGCTCCCAAGGGAGGCCACAAGCTCTCTCCACAGAGGGACTGCACGCAGGCAGGAGGCTGCACCAGACCCCAAGGTCTGGACTGCCGTGCCTGTGCCCTGAACCCTGCCTAGATGGGCAAGACCAGCACCTTGTGGGCTCCATCTTGATAAAAATGAAGTCTCCCAAGTCTCGGACTAACTGAAATGCTGACATGAGGATCCCCTAATGTTTTATAAATGGCTGTGTGACTGATGAAGGTGATGGATGGTTGAGCTTAGAGACTGTGTGCATGGAGTCCCACTGGGCCAGCTAGACCCGGACGGGTGGAGACAAGGACACAGCTTCCAACTCCATGGTACCTCGCCCAGAAACTGCGAGGCCCTCTCGGGAGGCAAAGGAATGACCACAGTGGCGTCTGGGGAGCAGACCAGGAGAGTTGCCTCTTGGTGATGCACACAATCCCGTACAAAACCTCCTCATCCGGACCCCACACCTCCCCTACTTCCTGCCAAGGGCAGGAACCTGCAGGCGGGGAGGGCCCTCCATCCAGACCTCCTGTGGCAGGCACCATGCTCCCTCCCACGTGAGTTTCACCTCCCGACACAGCTGGGCCGACATGTCTCAGCGCTCACCGCTTTCTGTACTTAGAAAGCGCAGCACTGACACCGTATGTTCCCTAACGCCCCGGCAGCGAACCAGATGAATGGACTATTAAGTGGGTAAGTAGCCTCATGTCCCTTAGACCAAGTTTGGCTGTCAAATGAGTTTCCCCTGAAGTTACTCTGCAGCAAACGTCATTTCATTAGGGTCCATGGCCACCTAATTTCTACCACCTCACAAGGCCAAGGAGGGAAAAATGTACCTCTGGGCTGCCCGCGAGGCCACAGGTGGCAGCTCGCGCTCCCGACCATCCCGATTTGGTACCTGGTGGCTGGCTTGGGTCCCGCGCGCCTGCACTGTGGCCAGTCTGTCATAGTACCGGGAGATGGGGTTGTCGTGTTCGATGCCCTTCTTGGCACAGCGCTGCTTGTAAATCTCCACGAGGGAAAGAGAAGAGGGGTTGTCCTCCACGAGGCGCATCTGTGGGGATACCGCCACCACACGTGGAACTGGGGAGAAAGGAGAAGGCAATGGGAGCAGACCGAGGGAAGGCGCCCGGGCAGCGCTCGACCCCACTTCCGGGGACGTCCCCGGAGCAGCTCACTCAGCCCTTGGTGAGCAGAGGACGGAGGCAAGCTGGAAGTCACACACCGCGTCCTCACTTGGCACATGGCAGAAGCCCAACCTCCTGGGTGATTAAGACACAGGGGAACAGAAATTCTTTAAAAAGCAATCTTCAAAAATAAAACCTAGAGACTCTGCCAATGGTTCACTCTTTGGAGGCCCTCCTTCACCGGGGTTCTATCAGCAGAGCTCAATCTTCGCCCTCACTCCAAGGTGCCCATCGAGTGTGGTTACCTTACCCTGCCTTCCAGCATCGGGATGGTTGGCCCCCACCTGGGGGAAGTTAGGAAAACGCTCCACTCCTCTTCTGTGTTCTGTGGTTCAGCGACGGGAAGCTCCCAGAGTGAATCTGACCGTTCCGCCCAGTTACTTTGTGGAGCTGTACTGAGAGTGAGGCACACTGGGGACCCCGATGACCACTCTCGCACTGGAGATGCCTTTTATGAAGTGTTCACCTCACATGCTGATAACCTCCACTGGGACTGCACTTAATCAGAAAGTGCCGGGCGTGCCCGCCCTGGAGCCAGACAGCCCACACTCACATCCCAAGTCTGTTTTCCCAGTGATGTGACCTCGGGAACGGTCACTGGACGTCTATGAACTTCAGTTTCTTCACCCGTAAATAAAAGTATAACATGTACCCCACCGGGCTGCTGGCAGACTAAATAATACTTGAAAGATATTAGCTCAAGGTAATATTACTAAGACTTTTTTTTGGGTAAGCTCTATGCCCAACGTGGGGCTTGAACTCATGACTCCAAGATCAAGAGTCACGTGCTCTACCGACTGAGCCAGCCAGGTGCCCCTGAAGACATTTTGTTGAAGATATTTTGTAGAGAGCTGAGAAATTTCCTGAAGATAGCAAAGAACGTAGCGATATCAAGCTTGTGCAGCACGGGGTCACAGCAGCAAGCTGCCTGGGTGCTGCTGAGTGGTCCAGCGGAAGCCATGGAGTCCGTGTGCCAGCACCAGCCTGTCCTTAGGCCACTATGGCCAGCGGCACCCGCGCCGGGTGTCAGTGTCGTGGGTACACACACACACACACACACACACACACGTTCACGTGTGATTCTGACTTCTAATGAGCCCGGAGTGGATTCGGCCTAATGTCCGTTAAAGCCCAAGTACTAGCTTGCTGCAAGGCTTCACTCCATCGGGAAATTCCACAGTGACTCGAGGGCACCTATTTGAACTGTCGTTTGATGCTGACCAAGGGTTGGTTTCTTTGGAAAAAGCAAAGAACCACCTATTACCCCCAGATGTGATCCACACTATAAATCCCATTACATACATGTTAATACGCATACAGTTTTCTATGGACTTCTTTTTAAGATCTACTTCTTACTTTGGGGATGTTAAACTTAAGGGTAAGAGATTTTAGGTCAAAATGGGTTGGAATCTTAGTGGTCAGAAGAAAGCTCCATACGGGACTAGGTAATGTGCACTGCAACGGGCTCCTAACCTCAGAGATTAGGTGCTAAACTGTTTTAACCGGTTGTCTTCTCTGAATGGAATGACAGTGCACCTCTGCCCCCGTCACAGACAGAAATGGGTCACTCACGAATCACCCACAAGTTGGTACGGAAACCCCTTACTCAGAGGCTGCTGGTCGCCGCGTGACCAAGATTTCTATGGCCTTCACGGGGCTTCTTGACTCTCCCTCGCGCTGCATTTCCCGCTGGGGAGGCACGTTCCAGCCATGGCCACGCGGTGCAGTGTAAGCTCCAGGAGTCGTTCGGAGACCTCCTGTCAGCATGCTCACACCACGCTCACACCACGCTCACACCACGGCCTGTGCTGAGCCCACGTTTCACCAGAGCATGGACGGACTCCCGGGCAGAGACAAACAGCCGTGGGCGCAGACACGGCAGCCCCTTCGCCAAACCAATACTCATGAGACACTTGTCTAGCAGCGAGGGGCCTAAAGGCTGGGGAGCAGCTTCTTCTGGGAGCAGGGCCCTCATTCCAGAACCTTCCCTGCTTGGTGTGTGTCTGGGCACTCTCAGCTCCCAGGAGATGGCACACGTGAAAACCCGCAAAGGCTGATGGGAGCGGCCGTGTGCCCCAAAGGGCACCTCGCCTACCTGTGAAAAATAAGTGCCTCTTTGTGGTTTCCTTCCTCTTCTCCAGACAGGGGTTCAGCAGCCGGAGCAGCTGCAGCACACGCTCCTCTCGCCGGGACTCGGTCAGGCAGGCGTCGTTCATGACGAGGTACGGGTAGATCTTGCCGTTGTGGCCGCGGATGTAGAGTCTCCGGGCTGCAGTGTTATGCTTCTGCACGATCTCCACCCTGGGCATAAACCTACCCAAGCAGGCACACAATGAAACACCAGCTCCCCGAGCCCTCAATTTCCAGTCCTTTTCTTTGAGAAGAAAAGGGAACTTTACGAGCACGGCATCCGGAGTTGTCGCGCAGGTACGGCCACCACTCTGACAAGGTATGAACGGCGCGACACTCTTCTACGACGTGGGGGAGACCCCTCGGCAGAGGGAAAATGCAGGAAGAGAAGAGGATGCTGTAGTTTTAAAACGATCAGCCACGGGGTCCCTCTTCAGGAGCTCAAGGAGAGCTGCCGACGGGCTCTGAGAACCCCAGCTACAGAGCTGGGGCGGGGGAGGGCGGACAGGTGCCTGGGGAGCGAGCGTGAGGACTACACACCCTCGCCCTCACCTCCCTCCCGTGGGCCAGGGAGCAGGGAGGGCTGGCCAGAGGGGAGTCACATCTGGAGGACCAGGAAACCCGATTCTGGATGCACGAGGAAGCAGACTTCTGGGTCTGATTATGACCATTTGCTACAGCACTTCTGACATTTACAGTAAGATATAACATCTACTCTAATAAATCTTACAATTGTCCAATTCTGTTTTGAATACTGAGCTTTAGGAGTTTTATGGACTGGGTGACTTTCTATTGTCCAGTTCCATGGGGATTCAGAAAAGGTTCTTTTAGAAGCAAAAGAAACACAAACTTGACTCAAGACATTTCACCCATCAGTTAGGCCAGACCCTTCAAGTACCTGATTCCTGAAATCCGAGCACAATCTCCCGTTCTCCCATTTCAGGGGCAAGGAGAGCACAGGGGAGGGAATGAGCCTGGACTGCTGCATGAGGTCTGCCCTGAGGTCGGTCCCGCGGCGGGCTCGCCCGGGGTGGTGTGTGTTAGTGACTAACCGCCACGCTGGGCTCACTCACCGAGCAATCTTGATGTAATAATGGGTCGGCTTGGGCATCAGAAACTCCCCTGGAATTTCTACTTCAGCTGTCTGCGCTGAGAAATTGCTCAAAAACCGGCACTTCTCTTCTATGAGGAAGAACTTTGGAAGCTGCTTGGTTTTAGCCTCCAGGATTTTGATCCACTTTTTCAACTTAGAAATAAGATTGTGAAGCTTCATGGATCCTGGAACACTGAAGTCAAAATCTTCGAAATAAAAAATAAAATATAATTAAAAACAGTTTTAATCATCTGGGCTATCTGGAATTCACTACAAGACCATGCTCAAGAGCCTCCCAGGTAGGAAACAGGCATGTTTTATTTTACATCTAACCTGGAGCAAAGAACATCTCAGTCCCTGTCGCTCTTCAACGTGTAAGTTGAAGCCTGAGTGACTGGTCTGCCGACCCTGAGACGGGAGGAGGGAAGGGGTGAACCGCCAACAGGAAGCCTCACCCCTAGTCACCACAGGTCCCGTGGAGCCCTCCGAGGGGCCCCGGAGCCCACTGGGCCAGCCCTGAAGGTCACCGCCCTCCGCCCACCGGCAGCCCCGCCTGACAGCAAGCCTCACACCGGGGAACCACAGCCCTGTGCCAAAAGCCAACACCGTAATTAACTTGAGGCTAAAGGAGAAAGAAACCAATCCTGGCGAATACTAAATTATAAATCAGTTCATTAGAAGAAATTAAGTCAAGGCACTGAAGTGACAAAAATGGAAACCATGCCCTTTTCATTTAAGCAATTAAAATACTCCTGATTGCTGTATATCTCAGATTTTACTGACACTCGATATTAAAAGGTCAATTAAACTGAAAAGCCCTTCTTTAAAAAAGCGCCAGTTCCACACAGACGAGCACTAGGGGTCAAAGGGGCTGAGTTACTCCAACTTGCCGGAGCCCAAAGGTCAGGAAAAGCCGAACCTTCTCTGTCGCAAATGGAGCCCGTGGGAGCCACGGTCCTCTCGCTGACAAGGGCCGGGATCTGTGACGTGGCAGGGGCCCTTGCACTCAAGCGGAAAGGCTCTGTGGCGCCTCAGGCGGGCACTCTTCTGCAGACTCAGGTGGTGTGGGGGGAAGCCTGGTACAGACTCCTGCCCCCTGTCCTCACTGCCTCCTCCCCATCGCGCCCTCCAGGGCTGCAGCAGGCTGGGCCAGGGCCAAATGCAGGGAAAGTGAGTGGGGGTCCACAACGTGCATGTGGAACCAGGGGCCGGTGGAGGCCCCATCAACACCTACACGGCGGCCCAGAGGGGCCGTGGCCATCCGAATGCCAGCCCAACCTTGGCACGCCCAGAAGCACTGCAATCAAGGTGCTCAACTGTCCATCAGCACAGACAGCCCCTCTTAGCCCTATGGCCACACCCACCTCTGCCCTCAATCCCTCACTCCTGGCCACCACTAACCCATCCTCCACCTCCATCCTGACGTTAGTTTACAAATGTTTCCTAAGTAAGGACGATGCAGTAGGTGTCCTTTCGAGATTGGTTTTTTGCACTCAGCATGATGTGAGGTTCATCCTAGCTGCCCTATCGATGGCTAACTCCATGAGTATGGATGTGGCACACTTTGCTCATCCATTCTCAATTTGGTGCTTTTGCAAATAAAATGGCTGCCACATTCATGTTCAAGTTCCTGCATGTATGTTAAGTCCTCATTCCCTGGGATAAATGTGATGTCCAGTCTTTGAACTTTCTTCCACCTCCTTCCTGGGGTGGGAGTTCGTAGCCAACAGAAGCGATGCTGCCCGAGGATGGAGGTGGGGTAACTGTCCTCTGTTGTGTGGACGAGAACGCGGTGCTGAAACACAGAGCTGGTCGTTCCTGGGAACGGAGGACCAGAGGGGCTGCAGAGCTCTGAGGTACGCACGAAATGCCCAGGCCTGGAAGAAGGTCAGAGCCTCAGAGCGGTCTTCCTTCGAGCTTCTGGTTTTGTATTTTTTTATACCAAAATCCAAATGACTTGTCTCACTCTGAATTCTATTTCAGACTATATTTGATTTAATGAGTGGACATTTTAAGATAAAGACATACTGAGTATCATTTCCCTTGAATAAAATAGGAGAGTTTCCATAAAATTCATCTCAGACTTTTCCTTTTTCAGGGAATCGTGACCAAACACGTCATGTGAACGTCACAAAGAAAAAAATCGAAGATGGTGGAAGTGCTTCAGTGGAAAAAGGTGTGAGAGGCTCATATTTTTTTGTTCAAATAGCATCTTCTTCAAAGTGTGGGTGCATTGGGGGAAGCCCCTTGACCTTAAGGCGAGTCCAGCGTTACCTTTAATGCCCCTCTCACACCATAAGGGGAGGAAACCCAGGGCCCCGGGGCTGCCTAGAATGACAGCAGGACATGTTGTATCTCACATGGATCAAAAGGAAGTCATGGCTGTAGCTGCAAAGCACCCTTTGCAATTAGCGGGATAAATATTTTCTTTTACAGGATTTCAACCTCGTCTACACAGCACTTATTTCTAGCTGTGCTCTCTGTGATAGAGTTCTTAAAAGATACTTTAAACAACTAACAATGTGAACCATTATTTTACTGATACTTAGCGTATCAGTATAGAAAGAATGTTCTGGAGACAGTTATAAAATTTAGTAATTAAACTAAAATGTTTCTTTTAGCAGGAAAATTGACCAGACAAATCTTGTTTCCCATGATGATCACTCAGGGGTTGGCACTCGAGACATAAAGGCCTGCAGAAGTTCCGCAGGCGGCCAGAGGGATGCTCCGAGAACTGGGGCTCGCCTGGGCTCCTGTGTCAGTGGGGGGGGGACACGGGCGGCAGGGCCGCCTGCACGCGGGGCACATGGTGGCCCGTGTGTGCTCACGCTGCGGGGACCGGGGCCCCTGTCTGGCGCACATGGTGGCCCGTGTGTGCTCACGCTGTGGGGGCCAGGGCCCCTGTCTGGTGCACATGGTGGCCCGTGTGTGCCCACGCTGCGGGGGCCAGGGCCCCTGTCTGGCGCACATGGTGGCCCGTGTGTGCCCACGCTGCGGGGGCCAGGGCCCCTGTCTGGCAGGTAAGGACTGAGGCCAAAGGAGCCTGGACTCGTCGGTCACCAACACACAGAACTGGGGCCAAGGTTCATTCTCCGGGGCGTCTCAGAAAACGCATGAACCCCAACCAGGGGCCGGTTATGAGACAATCTCCTTGTCTTTCTGCCACCCGAATCCACTACAGGTTTGAGCTCTACTTGTCACACTGAGCCTGTACCTCTGAGCCTGTCTCACCTCCCACCGTTCAGTTTTCCCACAAACACCAAGTGGAGGGAGGGACGGGAGGGTGCGTTCAGCCTGAAACCCTCCTCTTCCTAACACCTGCCGCCCCCTCATGCGGAGCCTGGCTCCACACCTTCACCCTTCACTGGAGTGAAGGCTGTGCGGCCTCAAGCCGCTGAGTGTCACAGTGACCTCGTGAGTCCGCATCCTAAACGGAGAACAGCAAGCTCAGCCGAGACCATGCTCACGAAAACAAGGAAATAACAGCTAGCTGACTGTTAAAAGACAGAGGAAGAAGAGTGAACGGAACCTTCTCTGGCTTCAGGAAAGGACTCACCGGTTGTGAACTGACCCTTCAGCTTCTGGAAGACGGGGTCCTGGGCGGTGGCCTGTGCCCGCCTGGCTAGAGACTCGGAGGCCGCGCTGGAGAACATGGTCGAGACGTTGGACACGTTCTCCAGGCCCACCCCGAACGTGCTCACCAACTTCTTGACGAAATTTAGAGTGTGGGGGGTAATTTTGGCATCCGACACGGCTCCACTTTTCTCAAATGCAACAGAGTAACATTTCGCCAGGCCCTGCTGGAGCTGTCTGAGAACCTGGTGGGGAGAGACCGGGGACAATTCTCACAGCAACTCTCCAGGCCAGCAGCTAGCCGACTGCAGAGCATCGGTAAAACAAAAAAATCTCCACTTTTTTGGGCATACACCTACCCTTCTGTTGATTAACGAAGGGAAAACACTGTCTATGCAGTAAGTGTTGAAGTCACAGCTGCGTGTCTGCACGCACACATCAAGTAACAGTAACACAAGGCCGCCTCTTGGCCAACAAGATAAACATCCAGATAATAAGGGCTCATCCTTTTGTCATAAGCTTATGCAAACACCATTAGGAGAGAAGCGGGCTGCTGAAAAGCTCCCTGAAAAACTCCGTTACCTACACCACAGCCACCGCTCACACCTCACCCCGCCACTCACGCCCACCGCCCCGCTCACACCCACGGCCCCCTTCACACCCACAGCCCCGCTCACACCCACCGCCCCGCCGCCACCCACGGCCCCGCTCACACCCACCGCCCCGCCGCCACCCAAGGCCCCTGCTCACACCCACGGCCCCGCTCACACCCACGGCCCTGCTCACACCCACGGCCCTGCTCACACCCACGGCCGCTGCTGGTTAACTGGTATTAGGTGGTAGTTAATTACAGCTCACAGACGCGAGCACAGTAAGCACGTTAAGGACAGAACTAGCTTTCTCAATTTCATCTTCTTTTTCAGGCATATCCTGCTTCAAATATTTGAAGCGACATTAGTACGCAGACATCAGCTATCTGCTCACTCCACCATTCAATTCGACAACGCAGAACACAGACATGACCTGGCAGTGAATCTGAAGGGGGGACAGCCCACGGCACACGGAAGACAGGTTCCCTCCACGTACCTCTTCGTGCCAGTTTTCTCTGAACCAGACCATCTGATCGACGATGCCTTCCAGGGAAGACAGAAGGGTTGGGTGGAGCTCTCGCTGCATGTGCATGATTCGGCTGCAGCGCCACATTGGTGCTGTTGCTCTTATGGGCCCTGGATCTGATGCAGAATGGGACTGGTTACCCACTGAACTTGGCTGCTGCTGTCCAGAATCTGAGAGTAACACACACAACGCCAATGTCAGCGCAAAGCCGGCCCGATGCGAGTGCTCGGTGCTCTAGAGGACCCATCGGCCAAAGGAACGCTGGTTCCTGCAGGCGTGTTAACACATCACGAGACCGGTTCCCCAGGGACCGTGGGAGCCGCCCCGGCTCTAAGGAGACGTGCGCTGAGGGGCTCGGGCACACAGAGCGCGACTGCCTATGACCTGGCCTCAGACGTTTCAGTGAAAAGCAGAAGGCGTCACGTCGAGAGAGAGCGAGCGTGCAAACAGGGCCGTGTGCTACATGGTGAACTGAGATGAGGGGGCGCCAGTGTTCACTGTCCTCTCCTAACTTTACTGTAAGCTTGAGCATTTTTTAAATGTTTGGAAAAAATATTTCACAATACATTCCTTGCAGATAGCTCACAGAATCTAAAAGTAATTAATGAGAGGTCTACGTTTTTTCATCTAGGAAAGCCCAATCGTGTGTTAAAAAGGTATTTTTGAAAAATACAGTCATTTGTGGTATGAGAAATATGCTGTAGAACCCAAACGCCCATATCTCTAGCTCTGGCTCACTCAGAATAAAAACACCTTAATTTTCAAAGGACCCAAACACCCATCTACCTAGGTAGACCCGTGAGGCCAGAGCTGGAACGTGCCGTGCAGTCTCCTGACCAGCCCAGCTCCTCAGAGGGGGTGCTACCAGGCCCAGTGGATCAGGTCACCTTCTTACAGAGTCTCTGGCCTCAAAGCATGAACATCTGGGTGTTAAAAATGGCCTGAAGCAGACGGTGCTTTAACGATTTACAAGGTACCATGTGTAGCGGGCAACGGAAACCACTGCTAAGTTACTTCTTACATATGAGGACTATTCAGGACAGATTAAAACTCTTCTATTTGAGTGACTCTGGTAAGACTGATTTCTATGCTGATTCTTTTTTTTTTTTTTTTTTTAAGATTTTATTTACTTATTTGAGACAGAGAGAGACACAGCGAGAGAGGGAACACAAGCAGGGGGAGTGGGAGAGGGAGAAGCAGGCTTCCCTGCTGAGCAGGGAGCCCGATGCGGGGCTCGATCCCAGGACCCTGGGATCATGACCTGAGCCGAAGGCAGACGCTTAACAACTGAGCCACCCAGGCGCCCCTCTATGCTGATTCTTTTGACAGCTGAGGACATTATAAACTAAATAACATACATAGTAAATGACATTTATACTGTTTACCAGCATGCATTATTAAACTTTATAATTTTCCAAGGCTAAAAATTTCATGTATTTTTCCTACTTATGGACCAAATCACTTAGGTAAACCAACACCCTATTAAATCACAACCACGGAGAACCATCGACGTGCTTCAGAGATCAGGCTTGGCCTCCCAGCCCCACAGTGTCCTCTCACTGGCTAACCATAAACAGGCTTAGGACAGACATGGGATGCCCCCGCGGACTGAGCCCCTCGTGGTCTGGCCAGCCGGCCCCGCCCGAGACATACCGCTCTTGTAGCGTTCCCGCTGCTCGATTTTCAGGGTCAGGTAGAGGGTCCGGATGGGAAAGTAGACCGCCTGGGGATACACGCGTCCAACCTGCTCAGAGACATGGGGTGTAAAGAGCGCTGCTCATCACTGGGCTTCTGGAGGATGGCAATTTGTATGGAAAGTAACTGTCACCATGTGTAAATGGGCTGGGGTCCTCATGTGAACCAAGGAGGCACATACTGCACCACGGGGCTGATCCACGAGCCCAGATTAAACAGGAGGTCAAATACCTGGTTTACCCCTAAAAGATCCGAGAAAGATCAACACGGTGCACTCCCACAGTTCTGCCTGGGGGACTGTTAATGACAGAGAAACCACACCTGCCTTTAATTCGGTAAACCTGAGGACAAACTGCACTGGTCCCTGGATTTTACTCAGGCAAGTAACGGGAAAACACAAAATGACACGTCAGTCTTTATATTGGGCGCGATTCACTGGGAACTGGAAACCGATTCTAACTAACAAATAGGTTCGTTACTAACTTCATGTAACTGCAGCAAGGAGAATACTGAAAATTTTAAGGTAAGAAACACCAGTCTTACCAAACTGGGGTTTTACGGCTTCTTCAAAAGGCCTGAGTAGCTACTCTGATGTTACTGAGACCCTTCCAAATGCACCTATAACAAGACGACAGGAGGGGTACCTAGCTCTGCCACAGGCCACAGGTAGCTGGCTAACATAAAGAGATGTCTGACGAACGGTGGTTCTACCACACAGACCGAATCTACATCCCAGCAGACAAACTCCAGGCCAAATGCCAGTACCCAGCACATCGCTGCAGCCTCTCAAGGGGAAAAAGAAAACCATTTCTGGGTACAACGTGGATGATGCATCGCGTGTAAAGAGCAAAGTAAGCTGGACAGACAGAATGATGAGCAGCATGTTCCTAAATGCTCGGTCAGGACGCTCTTCATTCATGAGAAGTCAGTCACAGGACTCTCTAACTTTGTAAGAAGAAACACGGTCATAGGCACTGTACGCGACACAGAACTGCCTCCAAATTCCCACCATTGGGGTCCTTCCTCTACTCATCAGGCTCCTCACACAGAGGGACAACCTGAAATCATCCCCATCCCCAAGGCACACAACTTTCACTCCGAACAACTGCACGAGGGCTGAGGGGTGAGAACTGCTACGATTACAAGGACTTCGGTCCAAAGGGAAGCTCTGAAGAGCTCAGGCACTGACGAGGGGAAATCGGCTACAAAGTACCAACCACATACACATTTCACTAATTCAGAGTATTCACTAGCAATTTTAAGAGAATACCCGTTTTACTTGCATCTTTATGTGGCAACATACGTGAGCAAAAAAACTGGCATTTTTAATACTGTAACGATCTAGTGGATTATTTCGTTTCCAACCTTGGATTATTTCATTCCAATCACTTTTAATTGTGCTTTAGATCAAGTGACGTCTAAGTGTGTACAGCTTCCTGCATGTGAAATGAAGATGTAATTTTCTTGTGAACAAAGAGACCCTGTTGCTCCCACCTGGCTAATAAGGTTCAGGAGCAGCTTTCCCTCGGAGCCGACCAGGCAGGTGAGCAGCTGCGGGATCCAGGCCAGCCACTGGATGGGTGGTACGCCGATGCAGTACTTGTCAACAGCATCGGCCAGAGTGTTCTTGTCGTCATCAAAGCTCAAAAGCCACAGCACCTAAGACAGAAGGAAAATCCCACAGGTGAATGGAAATTCTGAGGCCCTCCGCCAATGACTTTTCCCCAACATTAAAACAGCACATAGAAGATCCTTGCTGGCAATGTGGGAAAAGGAGTACAAAAGGGCCAACGATATCGCTAAACTTAATGCGTAAGCCTCACAGACAGATGAGACCGCCAATGTGAATACAGTTCTTACCTAGATGAGGCATTACCACCGACCACTAACGACCCAACCTAGCGACCCAAGGGCCTGCCAACCTGCTAATTCACACTCACGACCTCCCCAAAACAAAATGGACCTCTGCTAAAAATCTCTGATGAACACCGGCCCGGAATGAGGTGGCCACAAGCTGGCGGCCTGGTGTCCACGGATGTCTGAAACTACTACATCCAGAAGGAGGCAAATTCAGGGTCAAATATTTAGGGAGCTTCTCTGTGTCACCATAGCTGGTGTGTTTCTGGAGTCGGCTTTAAATACTAGGTGCTGATGTTCATTCCACATTTGGACACTAAGGAATTCTAAGAAATCTAAACCTTTAACGGGACAAAACAGAAAAGGAGAACAACTTTTTCCTAACTTTTCTGCAAGGATGAATTCTGGGTTTTATTTATGTGTTTCCTGAGACACGAGAGAGGGAGCAACACCGAAGAAGGAATGTCAGTGTTAAGCAGTCACCTCTGGGCAGGTGTGCGTCAGCCGCTGGCCCCACCCTCCGCGCTGCGCTGGGGCAACCCGGGGACAAGAACGCCAGCGAGTGTGCAGAAACCCTGTGATCCCATGTCACCCGTGACTAGCACTGAGCAGCTCTGGGACTGTGGGCACCTCCCCTGCAGGTGACAGGGGAGAATCGACCAGGTGTCTGGCGGGTGGGTTCTCCTGGAAGCGTCCTCTTCGGTGTGCAGGGATCTCTGTCCAGGGTGAGGTCCCACAGAGAATGCTGGACTGAGTCCCAGGACTGACTCCAGGCACGGTTTTGCTGCTTAAAAGTCCTGGGACCTCAAGTATGTCAGGCCTCCGTTTTCTCAGCTTTCAAATGGAACTTGTGACAGATCCCGCGAAGAGTGACGGGAACGGACCGGGCAGGCATGAAATAATGCCTCACCCCCAGCACGGATCGGGCAGAAGCTGGCTTCTCGTGCAAACCTGAAGGCCACCAGATGGCCTTGGGTCTCACCTTGGCTAAGTATTTCCTTGACTTGCTCTCATTCTGATGCCGGCACGCGTGCAGGTAACAAGTAATGGCAGACACGCCCAGATGTAGCTGCCGCTCCTTCACGAAGATGTTCTCCAGATAATCGCCCCACATGGCCCATGCCTTCACCAGCACGTCATGCATTTGCACGGCTGCAGAAAATGCTTTGTTTGCTTCCTCAGATCTGTGAGGAGGCAAAATCAAAACATAATTTTTTTTTTAGGTGAGCTTCACGTAACATAAAATCGACCACTTTAAAATGAATAATTCAGTGGCATTTAGTACGTTCAAAATGTCATACAACTGCCACTCTACCAGGTGCCAAAACACTCTATGGTCATCCCCAAAGAAAACCCCATACCACGGAGCAGTCACTCTCCATCGCCCCCAGCCTCCAGTCCCTGGGGACCACCAACCTGCTTTCTGGCTGACGGACTGACCTCATCTGTGTATCTCACAGAAATGGAATCCTGTATTATGTGACCTGTTTTCGAGGTTCACCTGTGCTGTAGCAGGCGTCAGCACCTCATTCCTTTTTACGCCTGATACTGTTCCATTGTGTATCTAACCAGGTTTTGCTTATCCATTCATTTGGGTGGTTTTGACATTTTGGCTACTGTGGATGGTGCTGCTACAAACATTCATGAGCAAGAACCTGCTTGAACACCCGTTTTCAATTCTTCTGGGTATATACCTAAGAGGGAAATTCCTGGGTCATAGAGTAATTCTGTGTTTAATTTTTTGAGGAACTCATGAACTATTTTCCACAGTGGCTGCACCACATTACTATCTGCAAATGAGAGAGAGTTTTACATCTTCCAATAATGTACAGGACATAAGAGAACTAGATACTCATATCCCTCGTGATTATAAATGCAAACCAAATCCAACAGCACGTGAAAAGGATTATACACTATGACCCAGTGGGATTTATCACAGCAACGCAAGGTGGTGGGTCAACATAAAAAAAAAAAAAAAAAATCAACCCATGGGATGCATCACATTAGCAGAATGAAAAAGGAAAACACGATCATCTCAGTTGGTGCAGGAAATCCAACACCCTCTCGTGATAAACACACTCAACTAGCTAAGTACAGAAGGAAACTACCTTAACATAATAAAGGTCATACAGAAAAGCCCACAGGTAACATCTTATTCGATGGTGAAGGACTAAAAGGTTTTCCTCTGCCATCAGGAACAAGGCAAGAACTTTCACCACCTCTACTGAACTTACTACCAGAAGTCCTAGGAAGGAGCAATTAGGCAAGAAAAAAAGTAAAGGCATCCAGAGTGGAAAGAAGATGTACAACCATCTCTACTTACAGATGACATAATTTTATATACAGAAAACCCTACAGAAGACACACACATAAAACAGAGCAAATAAACATTTGGCAGTGTTGAAGATGTAAGAGCAATAGACAAAATTCAGTTGTATTTTCTGTACCTTAGCAATGGAGAATCTGGAAATAAAATTAGGAAAAAAATTTTATAATAACATCCAGAAGAAAAAAATATTTAAGAATATATTTAGCATAAGAAATGCAAGACTTGTACACTAAAAAATATAAAACACTGTTAAATGAAACAAAGATAAACAAACATCTTATGTTTGCGAACTGGAAGATTTAATATTGTTAGGATGGCAATACTTGCTAAATTAACCTACAAGATTCAATGCAATCGCTCCAATAGCCTCTTTTGCAGAAATGAATAACCTAAAACGCATGCGGAACGTCAGAGATTCCAAACAGCCAAGACAATCCTGAAAAAGGATAAAGTTGAAGAGCACTTCCCAATTTCAAACCTTACTGTAAAGCAACAGTAAGCGATACAGTGTGGCCCCAGCATAAGGATGGATGTACATCAGTGGAACAGAGCTGAGTGTCCAGAAATAAACCTTTATTTTTTCTGGTCAGCTAACTTTTCAAAAGGCCCCCAAGGCCCTTCTATGGGGAAAGAAGTCTTTTCAATGACTGGTGGTGGGACAGAATCTATACACGTGAAGGAGAATGTATTTGGACCACTATCTCCTGCCACATATAAAAATTAACTCAAAACGGTTGAAGGCCTGACTGTAAGACTCTTTGAAGAAATCAGAGGAGTCATCTTGTGACCCTGGGTTAGGCGATGGCGTCTTAGCTACGACACTAAAAGTACGAGCAGCCCAAGAAAACAGATACGTACACCCAACTTCAAAATGAGAAGCTTTGTGCGTTGAGGGCGCGGGCAAGAAAGTGAGAAGACAGCCTGCACAAAGTGTGAAAATGTCTGCAATCACACACCTCAGAGACACATCCAAAAGTCTAAGAATTAGAGGCAGATGATAAAAAGCCAAAGTCCAACTAAGGAATGGGCAAGATAACCGAATACACGTTGCTGTCAAGAAGACTCGCAAATGGCATGGAAAAGATGCTCAGCACCACCAGTCACCAGGAAAACGACAATCAAAACCCGTGAGGCCCCACTTCATCCTCACGAACACAGTTACAGTCCGAAAAATAGAAAGGAACAAATGCTGGCAAAGATGCAGAGAGGCTGGAAACCACAGACTCTGCTGGCCGGAACGTAAAACGGCGTAACCATTGTGGAGAACCATCTGGAAGTTTCTCGACAAGATAAATAAGTACCACATGACCCAGCAATTTCACCCCCAAGGCTCCCACAAAACCCTGTACGTGAACATTCACGGCAACATTACTCACAGGAGTCACAGGTGGAAACAGTCGAAATGTTCACTGATTGTTGAGTGGATAAATAAAACCTACAGGCACACCGCGGAGTACCACGTTCTGACACCTGCTACAGCACAGACGAGCCCAAGAACAGACGAGCCCGAGTGAAAAAAGCCAGGCACAGAAGGCCACAGACTGTAGGATTCCATTTATTCGAAACGTGCAGAACAGGCACATCACAGAGACAGAGAGATGACTAGCGGTTGTCAGGGGACAAAGGAAGGGGAAAATAGGGAGCAACCGCTAAGAGGTCCACGGTTTCTCTTGGGGGTGACAGAAATGTTTCAGAATGAGCAGCCAGTGATGCTTGTACAACACTGTGGATGTCTAAAGCCCACTGAACTGTACCCTTCCAAATGGTGCGTTTTAGGTCATGTGAATTTAAACCGTTAAAAAAAAAAACCTTTTTATCTTGACAAAATCACTTCCTTATTTAAAATAAGCTAAAAATGCAACCCCTTTTACTGAAAATGTGAAAAGTGGGCTTTACAGCTCCACATATGGCAACGAGCAGCATCTTGTAAGCACATCTCATCTGTATACTTTTTACAAAATTTCACCTGATGTTCATTTCTCTAAAACAGGGTTTTGTGACCTTATTCTGAAGGGGCTAGACAGTAAACGGGCTTAGGCTTTGTGGGCCGGACAATTTCTGTCACAACTACTCAACTCTGTGGCTGTCGTGTGAAAGCCACCGTAAAGCCCGTCAGTGGGGGTGGGCCTGTTCCCAGACCTCGTTCCCAGAGACCAGACGCTGGCCGGATTTGGTCTGCAGGCCACAGCCTGACGCCCTGCTCTAAAACAGGAACTATCTCCATAAAAGGAATCAAACCAACTCTGGTCCAAAATACCATGCTGTGAAAAGGGAGAAATGAATCTATGCCATCAGCAGTCCCATGTTCAAAAGCAACTCATTTCTAAAAAGCGTTTTTAAGTCCTACGCATCAGACTGGCTTATCCACCCGCTGTAAGTTACTATCTTCACAGAGACAGAGTACCTCAAGTATCACACCCGACAACCATCACCAAATCATACCGACCTTGGGCTGGAGCTTCACACAGACTTCGAGTTGTAAATAACTATTAAAACAGTCTGATGAATTTTTCTCCTTCTGTGTAACATACGTACTTGTTGATCTGAGCCAGGAACATTCCCTTCAGTGCGTAAAATTCAGCTGTCATCTCTTTTGTAAAGTATTTCAAGTTTGTAGATTCAATCACTTCAAGACCCTGGGTTTTTTTTTTTTTTTAAAAAAAAGGTAGGGGAAAAAAATTCTTGAAATTCCTAGACAATGGTGTTAAAACTGCATTACAATATTTATCTAGGCAGTAAGCCCTAAAGGTCACTGACAAGTGCACTTGAAGTTGACGGCTGACCTCGCCTACCACGAACAGTTCTTGACTGACAAGCGTAAACTGAATCACTAAATGCCTAAATGCCACATTCAGTCCTGGATACCTTAAGGGTATTGCTTTTTCCAAAACGTTCTATGTCTAGTTCATTTCATTGTTTTTGTTACTATTTCTCTGAACATGATTGAAATCTACTCTACATCCTCATAACTCACAGTTTTTCATTTTCTTTCCTTAAATATGTCAACCAAAAGACGGTATAGAACAGAGACGGTAAAATGTACACCAAACACTCAAAGTGGTTTCCTTTCCCTTTCTGGCGGTGAAGGGACTGCTTCCCACGAACAACGCCATGTTTCTGGGAAGTTCTGACCCTCCTTTCCCACTCTCTGCACCAGGAGTCTCCGCGGGGCACCCGTGCTCTGCTGGACCTCCCAGCAGGGGGCGGCCGCCGGCCCCCCGGGGTCACTCTACCTGCATACATTCGTTTTTCCCCATGACTCCTGCCAGCTGGAGGTAGCATTTGACTTGCTGCCGAATCTTCTGGAAGCAGTCCACGATGGGCACGGTTGGAATCGTATGAATGCGACTTAGTATGTCCAGAGCTACGTTGACCAGTCCTTGTTTGCGGGCGATCTTCCCATACTGGATGATCGCCGACGCGGACGCGTGAACCCCAAGCATGGCGTTGTTTGAACTTGGGTCGTGCTGAGAGCTGTTTTCATAGGCAGTTACGATAGCTAGAGAGCAAAGAAAAGGACCATCAGTCCACGCCAAACATCTCTCAAAGCGTTCCACCGTAAGGCTGAGATAAAAAATGAAAAACACGCACAACATGGCTTATGAAAACAGGAAGCTCTGAGATAAACCCTCATTACTTTTCCTTGGGTTTTACACAAGGAAGATACTTGATATGAAAGTCAGAGGTAAAAGGCACGGACTACTGAGCGGACCATCACCATCGTGGCTATAACTATATCAGGAATGTGGCTCTAAGGGGTGCTGGCGGGTTGAGGGGATGAACAGAGAGGACCAGGAAAGCTGGAGAAGGCTCCACGCGGCCACCTTCAAGCAGCTCTTCCTCGGGCGGCCCTTCACCACGAGCACCATACCCCGCAGCTCAGACCCCACCGGCCTGCGCCCCTAGCGCCTGCTCTGTTCTGGCTGGAAGAGTGCTAACGGGTGGAGGGAATCTCCCCATCTTCCACTGCCTTCCCCTCTCCCCTTGCCAGACCAACCGCCACACCGACCAACCCCACCAGAAATTAGAACATCTGGTAAAAGGAAAAAAAAAAAACAAACACAACAAAACCAAGACATGAAACCAGAACAGTGGGGTGTCTGGAAAATTACATGATGAATGCATGCCGGACCAGGTAGGTTTACCCTGGTAATGATGCTGCCTCCACATGAAGACGCTGCTCCAGTGGGACAAGTCGTCAGACACAATGGGCAGCCTGTTCCTCCACGTCTTCACCACTGTCTTCATGTCGTGCAGGCTGTTGTTCCTGCCCAGGTTGGTGGGCTGTAAGCCGGCGTTGATTTGTGCAGCTTCCTGAAGTTCGATGATCTGCTGGGCTGCCTGAACGGGACCAGCACAAGGGATCCCACAGTGAGCACCGGTGAGGAAAATAAACCAGAGCCCCTCAGCAAACTGAGGACTGTAAAGGTCTCCCGACTCACTTCCCGAAGGAAGCACTCTCGCTTACACAGACGCCTCACTTCCACATTTCATTTACTCTTCACCCCAAATTCTGCTCCTGTGATCCCCCCACTTTTAAAAGTTCAGCTCTGTGGCTACTGCAAAGTAGGAGAGGGAGGACAGTGGTGCAGGCAGCACACCCTGCGAACGGACAGCCCCCCAAACTCTTTCTCATTCCTTCTGCCACCACCTAAGTTGGGCTCTCCTACCGTGGGCTCAGATGAGAACAGCCTGGCCCGCCTGCCCTCAGGCTCTCCTTTCAGCAACACTCCAACACCGTGGCCACACTAAGCATCTCAAAACATGGTTCGGGCCATCCCTTTGGGCTGGCACAGAGGTTTTCCATCACGTCCCTCCTGAGCCTGTCTACCTTTCACAGCCCAGACGCACTGCTGGCTCCGAACGCCCTGGCCAGGATTCTGAGCCCATCCAAGTTCTACCCGTGAGGTCCCACTCCCCGCCATGGGGATTCCTCCCTTCTCTAAATCCTGGGTGCCCTCTCCGTCCTACTGCACGGCACTGAATCAGAGTCTCCCTCTGGTGTGAAAGTTTGCTTCTTATGGCTCTCCTCTCTCCAGCAAGGCGCTCCTCTGGGGCAGAATCATTGCTTTGAACTTGTTAGAATCTCCTGAGCACAGCACCTAGATTCAGTACTTGCTATCTTGCTGACTGATCTTAACTGTAGATACTCCCTGCAAGGGCCTCTGCTTTCCATCTGCACCTCAAGTTCAGTTCGTTACCCTGTCTTCGGAAACCTCCCTCCCGCCGAAAGCCTACTGGAAGCACAGCAGTGTGGTATCTGTTTTATACCAGCTTTACTGAGATACAATTAACACATCACCAAAATCACTCTGTAAAGTGTGCAATTCAGTAGTTTTTAACACGTTCCTAGAAATGTAGAACCCTCACTACCACCTACGTATGGAATGCCTATCTCAATCCAAAAAGCGGCCCCGGATCCGTCAGCAGTCTCCCCCATCTTCCCTCCCCCAGAGGGTGGCAACCACTGATCCGAGTTCTGTCTCTGTGCCTTTCCCCATCCTGGACACTCCTCGGAGATGGACACTTCTCCACTCAGAGTGTTGCTAAGGTTCACCACGCTGTGACAGGGCTCAGCACACGTTCCTTTTTATTGAACAACAGTCCGCTGCCTGGGTCTGCCGCTTTTTATTTACTCATCAGCTGACAGTCATTTGGGCAGTTTCCACATTTTGGCCATTATGGATATCGCTGTGGGTGAACATGCGTGTGCAAGTGTGTGTGTGTGCAGGATCGAAACCGCTGTCATCTAGGAATTCTGTACTTAGTATTTTGAGGAACTGTCAGATTGTTTCCAGTCTATTTTACAATCCCACCAGCAATATATGTGGGTTCCAATTTCGCCCCCATCCTTACCAATGCTCGTTATTGTTTTTATTCTATGAGTGTAGTGCGTGTGAGGTGGTATCTCACTGTGGTTTTGATCTGCATTTCCCTAATGACTGATGATGGTGAGCAATTTTTCCCATGCTTATAAGCTCATTTGTGTATCTGCTTTGTAAATGGAATTGGCTTATCAAATTTGGGCAGTTTTCAGCCATTATTTCTCAAATATTCCTTTTGCCCCCTTTTCTGGCTCCATTCCGTCTGGGACCCCCACTCTGAGTATGTTGGTACGCTGAGTCTATCAAGTCTCTATTATCTGCAGAACGCAAACACCGACGTCTCTGCTCAGGTGGCTTAGGGGTCAACCAGTTAGCCAGAGATGTCCCTAAAGACCAGAACCACTAAGTTGCTCAGCCTTTGCCGAGGGCTGTGTGCCTACTGCGGCCTGCATTTGACAGTTCTGCCTTAGCCTTCACTTCCTGCTTGTATGGAGCCTCAAGGTCAGGCAGAGGGGTGGGAAGAAGTACGTTCTGTGGAGAGAAGCAGCATGTGTGCGGGGCTGTGGGAGAGCCAAGCAAGTGAATGGTGGCCTGTGTGGCTGGAACAAGCTGTCAGAAACTGTGCAGATGATCCAGCGAGGAGGAGACTAAGGCACAGGCTACAAAGAGTCTTGGGGGATGCACTGTGGCATCACACTGATGGGGGATAGTGGCCATTAAAGAAAAGCCTAGAGCAAAAATGAGAATCATCAAAATCACTCCTGAGACGTCATCTGTCATTTAAATCCCATGGAAGCTCCAAAAATGAGAACATTTATTCCTCTGTATTTTGACTCTGGCCTTCCTTCCACTGCGGACGAGCTTAAATTAGAGAGGACAAGACAAGTGGAAGGATTTTCCTCCCTGCCGCCCAGCTCGGATTACGGACCTCAGCCTGGATGGCGGGCGTGCTGCTGGGAGGGGCCCCCAGGACGGCTGGGTACGCGCGCCACGCCCACCTGGAGAAGAGGCGTGTGCACATGGGACACCACGTGGGGCAGCCGCCGCCACTCGCGGATGGCCAAACTGCTGGCCATTTCCACCAGGCGCTCGATGAAGCTGAGCTGCTGCTCCTCAGGATGGCAGATGGCCAGGTATCCACGGTACATGTTGACTTTCCACGCCATCTCTTTGGGACAACTTACTTCCACCTGGTGGTGAAAGAACATTACATGGAAGCAACGGGCAAACTGCTCAGTACGAAGGGTCAAAAATGCAAGCCAATTTTTTTGTAGCCAATCATGCAAAGTGATAAACTATGAATAGATACTTATTTTCTTTGGAGAAGACAAACATTCAGATTGCATTTTCTGGATACTCTCCTTTTCCGAATACTAGTGAATAGCCAGCCTCTACAGGTTCTTTGCCTGAAGTCATCAGCAGTTCCAGAAAGGAGGGAAACCGATCAACACCGATGTGACAAACCAGATTAATGATCACCCCTCGGCTACAAAGTCAGCCAGCAAATTTCCAAAGTATTAAATATATGTTCGTCTCCACTCTGATAAATATAATTTTGAATTGTTTCCAATTCATACTGTTATCCTGGGAAATCAATCTAACTTGTTCCACATTATACAAGGAAGCAAAAGGCAACGATTCCGGCTGATAAGAATATGAAAGAACATTCATAAATTTGACTGTCATTCAAAGCCGCACTCTGCCACCTACTATAGAATTTCGCCCAGATTTCTCACGTTCTGGTTGTCAGCTCTCTTGTGAAGTACACTGAGCCTGGAACTGTCAGATTTCCTCTCCTCAGCTCTAACCCTGCCCCCACTGCCCCCACCGCCCCCACGTGGCTCAGAGCCACATAAAGGCTCCCTGTGCTCCCCCTTCTACCGTTGAAAGCTGTCTGCCCACCACCCTCTAAAGGAAGCATTAGAACTGGTCTCATTTTATCGATCTTATACAGAGCATTTAAAAACATAAATGATAAAAATTAAGGTCTTTTCAAAAATAATCTCTTTGTGTATGAGAAGAAAGGATACCTCTGTTGAAGGTATTTGACAGGACTTGCTGTAACAAGATCAACATAACATTCATTCTGAAACATCTCTGGGCAATAATAAAAATATACACATTTTAGTGCCAAAATACTATCTAAGTGAGAGAGGTATAATGATGATGATGACGATGCCATCCTGCATTTATGTAACTCTCTGCCTTGTTTTTTTGACATCTTACTTCTTTAAAGCACATTCACATTCATGGCCTCTCTTAGATCTCAATAACCCAACGATGAAAAAATTTAGGAAGATAAACTTGTCGAAACATCTGCTTCCAACATGATCCGCTAAAATCACACCAATCGCACATTTTCTGGGCTTAAACACTATTCAAGATAGGCTTTTGTCAATCACATCTATCCTCCGTAACACTGAGAACAAAGGCATTTCTTGTTTCCCACCCCTTGAAACAAGTTACACCATCAATTAAATCAAACCAAGAAAACCATACTTCTGCAAGCAGCCCTGAAATCATAACGCACAGGAACAAAAACAGAAGTAATTTGAGTGGCTTTTTTTTTTTCTTGAAATATCAGTAAATGAGTAAATAATTTTGGACCATCTACTTGGACCAAGACTATGTGAATTTACTACAGACTACCCAGAATGTTTATTCGTATACTTTGAGTTTTTCTAATTAGTAAGGGGCTTATAATTTTTAGAAAATTATTAAGGGTTTCTGAAAGAAGAAAGTTATTTCTCAGACCCATGGACAGCATGGTGCTGCCCGCATCCAGTTAAGAGAAACCCCGGGAAGGGAGAAGAAAGGAAACAGCAGAGTGAACTATAAATATTTACTCAGCAGAACATCTATCAGAGCAAGGAAAGGATAATCCATTGTAAATGTGTTTTGTCAGCAACAATACACATTTTCCTGATACAAGTGACTGGTTATCTCCGGAGTAAAGTCCCTGCATCAGACGAGCCATTTCCAGATCCCAAGCCCAAAGTCAAGCCCTGGGCTGTCTCCGCCCTCTGTGGTTCACAATCCCAGTCCTCCGATCTTCCACGTTCAAAAGCGACATCAGTAACAACATAAACACAGTAGCCACAGTACAGGTTAAAATTTTAGGTTCATCGTTTCAAAGACAGTAGCTCTATTATCTCAGCGTGCTTTGCAGTCTCCGAATTACAAGAAGAAAGGAAAATCACTTGTGTGAGTGTTAACGAAGCCGGGCTGGGCAGAAGGGCAGGTGAGAAGAAGGTGGCACTTCCTCCACCTCAAGCCCAACCACGAACACCACACAGAAAAGGTGGAGAGACGAGGAGCAGAAGCAGGGAAAGGGGCCGAGGGAGAATACGCGTGAAGGGCCCAGACGCAGGGAACGATAAAGAGCAGCAAGAACGGCCGCATCTGAAGACCGTCTAAGGCAAAGTAATAACGTGTCGTGGGGCTCAGAGGACACAGAGCTGCGCTGTCCCTTACTGTGGCTTTTGGATCCCCCCAGTGGGAGGAAGGGAATGGGGCCTCTGTGCCCACTCTCCCGCTGAGCACTGAATTCTTCTGGATGGAGTTTAATTAAAAAAAATGTGGAGCTCAACCCAGTGCATGACTCAGACTCACTGATACCCTTCTGCCTTCACTTCCACCACAAACATGCTCGGAAGAGAACACGGCTTCACTCAGCAGACTTCTGCCGGCAGCAGCAACTAACCCACCAGGCCCGGCGCAGGGTTTACTCACGCCGCGCTCATCTGCAGTAGCCCTTCTGCACCGGACCCGCCACAATGAACTAATGCTGCATCTAACTCCCAAACTGAATACACCTGGGAAAGGTGTTAAGAGAACCAGAGATAATGCTCGCTTCCCAAGAGCTCTCTCTCATCTGCCAGAATGCCTAGCTTGTTCTAAGTGAAGAGAACTCTCTGGAGAGCCACACAATCTGAGCCTGGGACAGTCACCCGGAGGTGGGAGGGTGCTCTCACCTGCACCAATGCCTCCTTCATGGCAGTCCAGTTGGATACCCGCCAAGCACACTCCAGGACCAGGTAAGGGTTGATGTGACCTTTGGACTGGCCATATTCCGTCAGGGCTTCCCACTGGTTCAACTCCTTAGAGCACCTGGAAGACCAGGGATTCAAGAGCAAAAGTTCAGTTACCAACACACTCACAGATTCAGAAAGGGCAAGGGATAGACTTTGTTTATTGCGAAAAAATTCTTTCCCCCCACAGGGCAAAGGGTGGGTTCCCAAGGTGCCCCACTGAGGAGAGCAACCCTGCTGTCTGAAATAAAGTGTCCCCCTGGACACTGAGGGCTGCCCGCCACACAGCAGAGAGCCCAAAGCACCAGAGCCAGTGGGAGGCAGAGATCATTTCTTGTTTCTCCAATGGATGCTTTTAATTACTCACGGACCGAATGCTGTTCTGAGGTGGTTCTTTATAAGGCCGTAAAGAAAGTAGCAAAGTTCCCTTTTAAAAGCACTCATTACAAGAAAATTTCAAAGACCGTTTTTTTTTTTTTTTACCGGTTCCCTAACAGACTCCTGAATACATCAAGCACTGTGGCGTACCGAATCCAGTGGTCCTCCCACAGCTGGTACTCTGGGAAAATAGCAGGGGAGGCGTTACTCCTCTCATGCTCCTTCTTGGCTTTGTCCATTGCCTTTTCGTAAGATTCTTGTGCCTGAAGAAGTCAATAATGCTCTTGATTATTTAGCGCAAGCTGGATCTCAGGCTTGGGGGTGCCCTACGCTCTTCTCTAGAAGATCACTGGCCCGAGGCTCCGCACACACAGGGAACAGAGGTGGCATGTCACCGCCCCCCCCCGCCCCCGAATGGACAGTGGAGACCGCCCAGCCCTGGGATGCATCTCTCCATCCTTCAGCGAGGACACTGTGCTTCTAGAGTTTCTGTGGCTCAGTGCCCTACACTGAGGGGCTGAGAACCGTTTCCTGGGACAAGGGGCCACACATCAATGAAAGGACAAACATGAGGATTACAGTTTAAACACTAACTACAATCTATCTGCCATTTCCAACAGCACCACTGACTGCAGATAAAAAGCGTCCACGTTAGCAACTAACAGTAAAGGCTTTAGGACTGAGTTTCAGAAATGTTCGAGTCACGTGTGTAGGTTTCTCTTAAACTAAGACTACAATCAAAGGCCCTTTCTATGTAGGATAAATGCTTGAAATAAACCACTGAACTAATTTAACGTGAACTTTGACTTGAGATCATTAGAAATGACCTCTCCTCAGCCACGCGGCCCGGCCATGTCACTGGACACAGGACGCTGGCTACCTGCTCGAAGAATCCATGCTGTTCATAAGCAATGGCCGTCGCCGTCTCTGAATACTTGCAACGCTTCTGCCACAAACCAGCCCACATATCTTCCTCTTGTAACAAAGAGTACAGTTCAGCCAGGGAATCCAGTATCTCCTGAAAACAGAGTGTGGTTTCTTGAGTGCTCGTGACAATAAGGCAACTTCACCAAGCTGTCATTTAAAATCACTGTAAGGTTTACTGAAACGGGGAGGTCACTGGCAAAGGCGACAGGACCCGGAAGATGAGGCAGGCCTCACCTGCTGAGGCGGAGTTATGCTCTCCTGCTCATAAAATTCCGTCGTTTGCTTCGGCTTAATCTGCAGGCTCAGACCTTTCTCAAAAGCCTGGTGCTCAAGCATTAACGTGGAGCGGAACCAAAGGTTGTGCGTCTTCCCCAAGTACTTGAGCACGCAGGGTCGGATGGGAATCGGGGGCACGCACTGGGACATGGCCTCCACGAAGCAGTTGAGTGCGCTGGGCTGACAGTCCCGCTGCACCTGGTGGCTGCCGCTGCACAGGAACGGGCTGATCTCACCGGCCAGCGCCTGAAACCCAAGAGTGCGTCACGACAGGTCTCCACTCAAAAATCTGCACGGCCTCACTCTCACGCAGCCTCTGGCAGTATTTTGGAGAATTCACTCTTGGACCATGGTGAGCAGTTAGTTCCCTCATCCTGTGACACTTAACAAGATGGTTTTCTTCCACAGATCTTTATCAACACCTAAAACTACGTTTTCCAAGACTGGCTTTAAAACATATACTCACGTGCTGCTGTCTGTCAGACAGAATTTTCCACAATCTGGGAAAAAGCTGGACCCATGTCTTCTCTGCCAGCGTTGTGGAAATGTGACACAGCTGGACAAAGGCGCTGAGCAGGGCTCCCGTCTACAGAAAAAACAGAGATTCATGGAGCCACGCGGGACGCTCCGGTCTCATGCTTCATCACACGCTCCTCCACTTTCAAACTTTCGAAGACAGAGCAAGTGTCAGGTCAGAGCAAAAACACAGATTCTGAGCATCAGGAACCCACAGGCATGCCTGCATTTTTTAACTTTCAAGGGCATTTTCTAACCAAGTCTGAGAGGTAGGAACGTGATGCTGATGCAGACGTGCAAACGAGGGGCACAGACATGCCCTCAAAACCGAGGCCGCTGGAAACGTGAAAGAGGAAAGAGGAGGAGCACGCGCACAGGAGGTAAGTGACTGGCCAAAAAGGACCATTCTGAAGAACAAATCAAGAACTGAGAATTCAGCATCTCGGCAGCTGAGGGCGGGGGAGAGGCGGACAGGGAGCGGCCTGGCTGGAACGGGACACCCTGCGCAAGGAGCCAGGGTCGGAAACAAAGGGCCCCAAAAGTGAACCAAATCCAGATGCCTCTGACTGTCCACAGCTTTGCTGTTTTCGAAAGTCTGAATTAGCTGCCAAGATTCCTTATGAACCGGCAGGTTTCTAGCCGGCTTGAAGCCGCCGGGCCAACGGGGCCACATCCCCAAGGAGACGGAGCTTCAGTGATGGATGAGTCATGATTATGCTTTCCTTTCTCCGACAGCAAACCCAAGAAAGGAAGTCACCCTCACGTCCACGTCTATCAAAAATGCAGAAAGCAAAGATATAAATATTTCAAGGAAAATGGGGGAAACGCTTAAGTGAAGGACGCTCCCGGATGGCACTCAGGCCGCCCTATGACCCTGGATGACCTGACATGGCTGCTCCATCCTCCCTGGCCAGTGTGTCAGCAGTCCCCCAGCCCTGGGTCATTTAGCAGAGGCCAAAGCACTGCTGGGCCACACGTGATCACAGGCCTGCTGACAAAAATGCTCATCTCAAGCGAAGGTGGAGGATTCTACAGGTTCCTGGCTCGATCTCATTCACACACGAGCACAGGGGAGACGTGAAGAAGGGTTGTGGATGCTGTGTGGCCCTGCAGCGCCAGGGACGCAGGGAGGGGACACTGGCTTCAAGAGATCTCCCACAGAGAGTAAGACGGTCAATTCTGGGACAAGACACCCACAGCAGAAACGAGAGCAGGAGTGCCTGGTTTCATGAAGGACCTGTTCAGATGCCCCCTAGTCCCTCTAGACTTAGAAACAAATAATCTGGGGCGCCTGGGTGGCTCAGTTGGTTAAGCGACTGCCTTCGGCTCAGGTCATGATCCTGGAGTCCCGGGATCGAGTCCCACGTCGGGCTCCCTGCTCAGCGGGGAGTCTGCTTCTCCCCTGACCCTCTTCCCTCTCGTGCTCTCTGTCTCTCATTCTCTCTCTCTCGAATAAATAAATAAAATCTTTAAAAAAAAAAAAAGAAAAGAAACAAATAATCTGGACGCGCCCACTTCACAGGTAGAGGAGCTTCGGGAATGAAAATGTCAGGGTCGGACTGACCTATAAATGCAGGGACTTTAACCCTACTTTGCTCTACAAAAAAATAGCTTCCATAAATACATGATACAGTAACAGGAACACTCTTGCCATTTGCAATGACGTGGACGGAACTAGAGGGTATTATGCTCAGCGAAATAAGTCAATCAGAGAAAGACAATTATCATCATATGATCTCACTCATATGTGGAATTTAAGAAACAAAACAGGGTCATAGGGGAAGAGAGGAAAAAATAAAACAAGACGAAACCAGAGAGGGAGACAAACCATTAAGAGACTCTTACCAGAGAGGGAGACAAACCATTAAGAGACTCTTAATCATAGGAAACAAACAGGGTGGCTGGAGGGGCGGCGGGGGAGGGATGGGCTCACTGGGTGATGGACGGGAAGGAGGGCACGTGATGTAATGAGCACTGGGTGTTGTATAAGACTGATCAATCACTGACCTCTACCTCTGAAACCAATAATACACTGTATGTTAATTAACTGAATTTAAATAAAAAAATGTTTACATGGGATTGGACCATCAAGAAAAAAATATATATATACAACACACACACACACACACACACACACACACACACACACACACGAACGCCACTCCCTCTAACTCCCTAAGCTTCCTGGCTGCTTTACTGTTCTCCAGAGCGCTCACCACCTAACACATACATACTGATTTTACTGCTTTCCATTTATTACTTGCCCTCACTAAAACACAAGCCCCATGAGGGCTGGCTACTCTTATCTGTTTCATTCAGTTACCTAGCACTGCTAAAATGTACTCTGACTGATCTTCCACAACAAGCTGATCATCAAACTTATGCCAAGGGAACCAGTAAGTCAGTATCTACATGGTGACTTATCCTGATAACCGTTAGCCAAGAAAGGCCTTTAGGTTTGGGGGCACTGATCCACCATGCCACCTTCTGGCAGTCATGACAGGAGAGACGGGCCCAGTAAGGTCTTCAGTCTGTGAACTAGAGAACCTTACATCTTCATGTAAGAATGCTCTGCTTCCTGTTCCGTGCACCAGAAGACCCCAAACGTTTTATGTTTCTCCACACATTAACTGCCACAACTATCACTCAGATAAAAGTTCAAAGGCTGGGGCGCCTGGGTGGCTCAGTTGTTAAGCATCCGCCTTCGGCTCAGGTCGTGATCCCGGGGTCCTGGGGTCGAGCCCCGCATCGGGCTCCCTGCTCTGCGGGAAGCCTGCTTCTCCCTCTCCCACTCCCCCTGCTTGTGTTCCCTCTCTCGCTGTGTCTCTGTCAAATAAATGAAATCTTAAAAAAAAAAAAAGTTCAAAGGTTAATTTAATGCACAAATTCGGGATAGGTCACTATAGAAGTTTAAACGCAGAAACTCTGTGATAACTAGTTTTTAATTTTTTTCACCTAGCTCGTGGTATGAACAGAATCATCACTGTTTCTTTGTAATACACCTCAAAAGCAACTTGGTATATGGAGCCTTAACTTTTTTTTTTTTTTTTAAAGATTTTATTTGAGCAAGAGAGTATGATTAGGGGGGAAGGGAAAGAGGCAGAGGGAGAAGCAGACTCCCTGCTCAGCAGGGAGCCCGACAGGGGACTCGATCCCAGGACCCCAGGATCGTGACCTGAGCCGAAGGCAGACACTTAACCACTGAGCCACCCAGGCACCCTTGGATTCTCTTAGTCTTTAACTAAAAATGATTATACCTATAATTAACCTGAGAGTTTGTGAAAGCGGGAGTTTCTAGCTGGCTATATCTCAAAATAGATGCATTTGGAGGACCTCTCCCTGCAAAGTGAGGTGGATTTCGTTTACCATGTGAACCTATTCTCATTTTCTCCTTTTTTACTGCATTTGAAAAATAATCCAGCCAAGTCTCATCATGTATTTGGTAAACCATTTTACCATTTCTTTCAACGGGTAGCAGTGGAAAAATTAACTTCTTTTTCTTATTTTTCCCGTAAGATACTGTAAATCCTTTCTCAAATCTTTGCCTAGAATATCCACTTCAGAGTCTCACAGAACTATGATGGCGTCGATTGAAAAAGGAAAGAAAGTTAACTGTAATTTGTAGAAGATGACCTCACAATGCTGTGGAGCAGTCCTGCCTGAGGAGTCAACATACTCAGGGGAAAGAAGAACCACCATCCCTCCGAACCCGCACACAGACCTTCACTTCCCGGAGAGTATCAAGGAATTTGTCGTGTCTGTTGGTTAACATGTGCAGCTGGTTCCCAATGTCCTTCTCAGAAAGCTCTTTGGTTTTGGGCGTGCTGGTCTGGTCTCCAGGAGCCAGCTCAATATCGATCTCTACATCCTGCAAAACAAAACACAAATAGGTAAAACCAAAAGGTCAAATGGTTATAGAAAATCCAACAAACACAACTCTTACAAATTTCTTGTTATATTTTTGCAAGTAAAATTTTGGTTAGTTTCCTGGAAGTTCATAATTATTTAAATAATCTTGAGTTCTAGAATAAACAACAAACAGACTAACTGGACCAGACCTCTCTTTAAGTGACACTATGGAAAAGAAAAAAAAAAAAAAAAAGCAACACTATGGAAAGGTCACTGTTTTGCTCTCCTGTTAGGATTGTGGAAAGCAAAATCAAAGTACAAACTTTAAACAGCAAAAATAATAAAGATTATAAGGGATAATAAGGAATTACAGCCTGTCATTCCTCAAAGTGCAATAGAGCTGTCTAGTTGCCTTGCTCATTCAGATTAAGAATATTGTCAGGGCCACTGCGCAGAATCTGTTGGCACAATGTTTTATAGGACTCATTCCCAGAAAGGAATAAACCTTATTTCTGTGTGAAGCTTCTGAGAAGTCACAGCCAAAATCTAATCATCAAACCAGCCTGAGTCAAGTTACTGACCATTTGGTATGTGCCCATGAAAAAGCGGGAAGAATCACTTCAAACTTGGTAATTTAGTTCACACAGAATTACAGAAGGAAAAGATCATATCACTACATGATTAGTGTTCAGTAACAGAGAAGACAATTTTAAATTCTCATTTGTTAATGAAATGAGTAGATAACCCACATATAGGAGGGATCAAACTATCGCTTTTACAGCAAAGAGTGTGCCTCCTCCTTCAATACCGGCTATCTGCTTTTTAAGATTCTATGTCTTTTAGAGAAAGTGTGCGTGCCCGCACGAGTGGGGGGGGGGTGGCACAAAGCGAGGGGGACAAGCCTCACTGCTGAGTGCCGGGGCCTGACGCTGGGCCTGATGCAGGCCAGTCTTTCGACCCTGAGGATCATGACCTGAGCGGAGACCTGAGCCGAAACCAAGAGTCGGATGCTTGACCAGCTGAGCCCCAGCTGCCCCTGGGTAGCTGCTTCCAAAACCCAACACTCCAGGGAGAGACTGAGCTTCTAAGAGTCCACAAACTAAAGGAGACACAGTTTAAAGATCTATGCCTGGAGTAGTGGCAGCCACTCCTCTCGGAGTGCTAAGGGCCATCAAGATGGAGATATCAGCCCTGGAGGCCAGTTCTTGGCTCTAGGGCTGCCCCTGCCAGGACGAAGTGGAGATTCGGGAGGTTCACAGCAGGCTGCTGGTGGAACCTGCTAGAGCCATGGTGGGCACTCCTCCTCAGAGTAGTGCTGTCTACTACAACACGAGCTACCTAGCACTTGGGAGAGAAAAATCACCAACACTAGAATACCCTATACAAAGCAGCATTAGCTCACGATAAAGTGATTTATCTCAAAATTAAACGGCAATATGAGATGGTTATCAATTCAACCTAAGTGTCCATCAACAGGTAAATGGATAACGAAGATGTGGCGTGCATATATACAATGAAGTATTATTCAGCCATAAAAAAAAAAATGAAATCCTGCTATTTGCAACAACGTGGATGGATCTTGAGGGCATTTTGCTAAGTGAAATAAGTCAGACAGACAAAGACAAATACCATATGATCTCACTCATACAAAAGTCTCATAGAGAACAGACTGGTGCTTGCCAGAGGCAAGGAGATCAGGAATGAGCAAAATGAGTACAGACTTCCAGTCGGAGAGCAAGTCCTGGGGCCATCACGTACAGCATGGTGACCACACTTAATAACGCTGTGCTGCATATCTGAAATCGCTAAGAGAGTCAATGGTGAAAGTTCTCATTATTAAAAAAACTTCTGTAACCATGTGGTGACAGATGTTAAGTAGACTTACCGTGGTGACTGTTCAGTAATATATACAAATAAATACGGAATCATTACGTTGGACACCTGAATTTAACATAATTTATGTCAACTATACCTCGATAAAAAAGGAAGAAAAATCTAACCGAATGCAGGTACCACATTCAGAAGTTTGAGGCAGAGAAAGGTTTTTGTCCCTTGCCTTCCCACCTCCCCCACATCGAAGGCTGATATAAAATCCACCAACAGACACGAATTCTGCTGTGAAGAGGAGGCAACCGTCTGGAGCATTACCTCCTCCTTGGACTCGCTGTTCTCTCGCTCCCGAGGCTCCTGCTTCACATGTGTGACCATGGCGAAGGCCGCTCGGTCGTGGCTGTCGGCCAAGTTGATGACGTTGGTGATGGACGGCAGCATTGCTCCCTGGCAGCTGGTACCAATGGGAGTGCTCTTCTCACACACCGCCAGGAGCAGCTGAAGAGGGTTTATAGAGAGAACGAAGACAAACCTAGGACACTCGCCTGGCATGTGGGGCGCAGGGACCCACGGTGAAGACCTAGTCCTCTCGACCGAAGCACACGTGCTGAGGACTCCTGAGCCACAGCTCGGCTGTATGCTTCTCCCCAGCTTACACAGAGCCTGAACCTCCCTTCCAGACACCCCTCACTCAGGATCTCGGACTCCGTGTCTAAGCGTAAGCTCAGGACCTTTCTCTCCTACCAGTCGGGCTTCCTCCGACCATCAACTCCTGCCTGGACTAAGTTCCTAACTCACCAACTTCCTCTTCTCAGACCTGTCTCCTCACACACAGCCAACCCAAGTGCTCTTCTCGCTGTGTCCCCTCAGGGGCTGCCCACGGTCCCAAGGGGACATTGCAAGCTCCTCAGCGGGGCTCACGCTTCTGCATGAGCGTTACATCTTCCGCAATATAACACTCCCCACCACAGCCAGCACTCCCGTGACTCTTCCCCACATCCCAATATGCTTCGCCCCCTGGCCTCTGCCCCGGACCTGGCCGCCCCTCAACGAAGGCACTCGTGCATTTTTGGGGCAGATATTTACTGAGCACCCACTTGGTGCTGTGTGAGGCCCTGGATTCATTTGTCAACTTCATAGGCAAGCGCCCCTGTCCGGGTAGAGCTGAAGCGTCAGAGGGAACGACAAGACCAACATCAACACATCAACAGACACAGAGTAAAAAATAAAACAAGCAAACAAGCCCCCAAACCAAACCAAACCAAACCTTAAGAAGACACACACTCACTGTGGTAACACAGCCAGGAGATGGACAGAATAAAGGGTGCCCTGCGCTCGCCTGGGTGTCAGGAACGTGGCATGTCTGGGAACACAAGAGGCCAGTGGGGCTGGAGACTAAGGAGGGAGGGAGGCCAGCAGAGAGCTGGACAGAGGGGCAAGGGTCTGGTCACCTGGGGTCCAGAAAGACCGTATCCTGCAAGTTGGAGTTTGTACCGAGTACAAAGGCAAGGAGGGACACGATCTGCTTTATTAAGGACAATTTTGCCAACTGTGGTGGGTAGGAGGGAAAGTGGTGACGCTGGGCCAACTGCTCCCATCACCCTTGTGAGCAATGGTGGCGGCCACACAAGGAGGAAAAAGAAAAAGAGTGAGAAGCAGGTGGCCCTGAACTGGTAACACGCAGCGACAGACCAGACACGCAGGCCAAACGCGGGAAGGAAGGGCAGACCTCCAGCCGGCGCCCTCCAAACCATCCTTCCTCCAACTGCTCCAACGTGCCTACCGCGGTCAAGGTCGTTTCCACCTCTGTGTCTCTACGACCTGACCCAGGGCCTGGCACGTAACAGCAACCGACAGGTCCCTTGAACCAAAGATGAATCAATCAGGAACCGCCCGCTGTGTGGCCATTCGCCAGGCTCCCAATACAAGCTGTACAGAGCGCTCTGAAACGCTCATGCGGCACCAACACAAACACGTTAGCAAGCTCTCCCTGACGCCCCGGAGAAACCTTCACAACCGTCGGTCTCACCGGACGAAGTAACGTGGTAGGTCACCTGCTGGCTCCACCCATTCCGCACCAGCAGGCCAGGATCACCCGCCAGCAACGCTCACCCAGGGAAACTAGGCTGCTTGGTGCAGCAAGTAGGTAACTAAGCCAATGAAGGATCATGGATTTCAGTAACAAACCAACAAGAAACCAGAAGTCTCACTACCGTCCTGTCAGCATCATGAATTTGTGACCAGGCACTGAAACGGTCTGACGGGTTTACAAAGGCCCTTGTCACTAGCACCCCGACTCCTCATACTGAGGGCTCCAAGTCTGTGGCTCGGTCAGGCTGCTCTGGCCTGGCTGCTCTATTTTCTGGCTCTAAGAATGACGGGACCCCACAATCACAGTACATTACATCCCTAAAGGCACGTAGACAGAATTTACAATTTTTGTATTTGAGAAAAAGTGAAATCTTTTAGCTATAAGCTAAGGAACGCTATTCAACTAAGAGCTTAAAATCACCCCTAAAAAACCCCTTGAGCTGAAAACACAGCTTTAAGCCTTTTCTCTTCCCAAAAGAGATTAGAGCAGGTTAGGGTGGAGGCTTCCAATCCCTCTCAGACAGTACTAATACCCCCTGGTTTTGGCGCCACAGACGCTCAGATGAGCCCGTCCTACCTCAATGCACTGCTTAATCCAGAAGTGGTTCCCCATGGCTTCCCAATTCTGGGAACAGGTCACATAAAGCAGGCGTTCGTAGACCCGACGTTTCATAGAGTTGTCAAAAACCTCAAAGAACTTTGCCCTGATGAGAGGCTGGGCACAGCGCAGCCCAGAGAGAAAGGCCGGCTCGAGTTTTGCGGTCAGCTCGCTGCCCGACAGCGTCTCATCCCTGAAACGGAAGGAGTAACACGGGCTGGAAGAGCCGCAGCAGAGCCAGCCTCTGCAAGCCGCAAGCAAACAAGGAGAACCAGCAGGGGCCAACGTTCCGGAATGCCAGGACGAAAGCCACGGGTATATCACGAGTCACCCTGGGCTGATGTAGCATTTGAGCAAAAGGTGTGTTAACGATGTCAAAATATATTACGGCATTTAGTGTTTATATGGACAGTCAAGCTTTAGCTATCACGAAAGATTAAATGTTACATCGGTTAGTCCAAGGACACACCGTGGACACATACATGCAGTATCTGGCTGATCGCTGTCATTACCTGTAGACATAGTTCACGAGGTCTAAAAACTGGGCGTTTAATTCGAGGTCTTCCGGAAAGCGCTTTTCTATGTAAGCCATCATTTTCACGAGCAAAATGGACTTCTCCCGGAGTGTAGGCGTCTGTATGGATTGGGTTTTTTTTTTTTTAAAGGAAAGGTCAATTACTTCTATTTGAAAAAAGACACATTCAAAAGTATTCCAGCCATCTGTCCTATTATCTTTTAAGCTCCTACAACTTTGTCAGTAAAATAAGACAAGGTCATTTCTAAACACAAAGATCCTGGCTCTATCTGCAAATACTTAAAATCAAGACAGCTGCTGATCCAATTTTCCTAGGGGCTGCAGCTCACTTTGAAGAGAAAGCAACTAAATTACACAACATATCTAAGTTTGCAAGCACCTTACTAAATTAATTCTATTATAGTTCCTCACTATTAATTTTGGCGGCTTACCTTTACCACTACAAAAACTAAGAAGTAAGGTTCATTTAACATTTTAATACAAGTAAAACCACATTCAGAGAAGTGACCATTCGTTTCAAGCTTCTAATTAAAATCTGCTAAGCACAGTGAGAAAAATGCATCTTGAGGAAAAATACCGTCAGTGCCAACACAGGGGAGAAAACGTTTTGCTGGAGAATTTTCAGAAGAGCTGAGAAAGCAGTGCTTGAATTTCCATACACACACACTGAGGCGGGGGGGCCTGGCTGGGGCACAGCCCCTCTGGCTGCTCACCTGATTGGCCGCCATCGGGGAATTGTTCTTAACCCACTCTTCCACGATTTTCACCACAGCCCGTAGGATCTTGGCATCCGGTGATTTCTCAATGAGGGAGGTCAGGATGGCCTGAATGAAGTTCTTCCTCATCTCCATGCTCATGACGGCCAGGCGAGTCTTCACCAGCTCCAGACTCAGCATCACCAGCTCACCAGTTCCTGGTCACGCAGAGAAAGACAACGCACCCCAACAATCCACACACGTGCATCCACAGGCCACCACTTTGCATTACGTGGCAAGTCGGAGTCTGCCCATCACCCCTCGCCCCCCCAATATTTTCTCCAGTGAGAGCTCTGGTATTTAAGGTGCTGCCTCACCACTTCCCTGCTACTCTGCCCTGTGAGGGTGGCCTCATAAGAGCCTCCACACGGGCGAGGGGACGATGGAGCAGATGGAGCAGCTCAGGGAACCCAGACACAGCCAGTCCTGAAGCCGCATTCACGGCACTTCTGTTCCAAGCTGCCTCTAACAGCGATGCCAAGCATAGCTCCCGTCCACACCGACGTATCACTCAGGTTCCTGGGGCCCACTGCTCAGGCCCGGAACCCGCAACTTAATTCTTCATCAGGCATAACAGCCCTGGTTACGCAATGTGTTTTAACCATTCATTAGACAGCCCTCATTTAGTGGTGAATATTCCACAGCAATGTGCAACCGCTTAAAAATTTCTTCATCCTCACAGTCACAAATATGGAAGGTAATTTGTTTTAAAAATGAGTCTCACTTTGCTTTTAAATGAAATGCTCAGAACCCCTCTGTTGAGAGCAAACAGACAAGGGACTGCATTAAAAACAACAGGAATTCATATTCGGTTCAGAATTCATCTGAGGTGTTACACAAAGTCTGAGAAAACCCACGGGGACCACGGCTGTCACCTGAGGTCGCTTCCGTGCTGCCCGATGCTGCCTGTGGGTTCAGGTGCTCGCGGACCATTTTCTGCAGGGAGCGCATGAAGACTGAGATCAGCCTGTCTATGTAGCTCGGGTTATTGCTGCAGGCAGACTTGAGGATCATAAGGGTCCCTGAAAGGCAGAAATGTGCTGTTGTTTGTTTTTTTTTTTAGAAAAGTTTAAAAAAAAAAAAGGCCAACAAAAATGTGCCGTTTAAAACATTTTAAAATGTGTTAAACAAAAATGTGCTCTTTCTGACAAAAGTATAGATGAGCCCCAAATGTCAACGTTCTAAGTTTTTGTATGGCACATGCTACACTTTGTGGAGTGCTGTGTTTTCACTCCCAATTCTTAACTCATGATCAACACCAGGCATGAGAGCCAATTTCTGCGCTTCAGTAGAAACAACATTCATATCTTCAGTTCTGGATTTTATCTTTAGTTTATAGCAAAGTACCCTAAGTGAAGTTTTTTGTTCCATGATATGCTTGGGGGGAGAAAAATGAAGAAAGAAAATCCTTTAAAAAAAAAAAAAACTAGAGTATCTGGACATGATGAATATTTCAGAAGTCAATTTATACCCATTCTGTAGAACTGCCTAAGATCAATAAAAATGAGCAAAATGTCAGAGCACCGACGTGGAGTATGTGAAAAAAATGTTACCTTTCCTAGCTGACATTTTTATGAACATCCTGACCTACACATTAAGTTTTAAATTTATATCCATGGCTCCCATTATAGACCAATAAAAGAGTATTTATTTGCCATTTATAGGTGCAATCATCACAGATTTAGACGATTTCTCAGTAGAGAGTGAATGTGTGATCAGTCTGATTCTACAACAGGTAACCTGCGGCACTTGTGACGATGGGTCAGTACCTGAGCCCCAGGTCGAGGACGGGGAGGGGACTGGTGTGACCAACTCTCCAGACACCAGCCGCAGGGCTGCCCCCGCCCCTGGCCTGCTGGCGCCCTCACAAGGGAGGGAGGCAGGGCCAATGGTGGTCAGCTCTTCTCAAAGAGAGTCCTCTGGAGAATTAACAAGACGTTTATGCTCTGGAAGCCAGGTTGCAAAGCAGGATCTACTGTACGATCCCACTTTTAAAAAAGTCAAAAAAGTATTCAACTCTCTAAATCTATCTGGTTCTAGAATAGGGACGGCAAGCTTGAACAGTTAGGGATACAATTTTAACTAAATTTATCTGGCTCCTGAATTTCAGATAGCAAGTATCAAGAGTTTGGAGAGCAAGAAACTCATGAAAAAATAATGTATTCAGTTTGCAAATTCAGATATAAGTGTTTGCATGACAAGGGCTACCTGTACGTATATTCATATCCTCATATATAGAAAAAAGACACACGTCAAGATGTTAGGAGTAAACGTTACTAATTACAGAGGCAACTTGTAGTTCTCCTTCCTTCGTACTTTCAAAATTTTATACAATGACTAAGTTTGAAAAATTTTTTTAATTTCTAACCCAAAGTCTAATCCCCCTCAGAGATGGGAGTTTTCACAAAAATTAGACTTCTGGGTAACTCTGGAGGCCAGTCGGTCAGCTGCCCCGATTACCTGAGAAACCAACTTTCATTTCATTTCAACCAGAGCCTCACCAAGCAGACAGGGACTAGTTCTTGTCTCATGAGTGGTTTACTAACAGGTGAGCATACTATGAAAAAGAGTAGTTATCCACATTTGCACACAGCTTTGGCAGCATCTCCGTGTTCGAGGTAGAACTGGGTCAGCAGGATCCACGAAACACGGGACTGTTCCCCCACAACCCGATCCTGCATCTGAGGCTGAGGTGGGAGGGACCGAGGGAGCACAGACATTGGTCGTGTGGACAGCGTTCCCCTAAGACCACAGGGGACAGGGGCCTCACGTATACCAGGCCACACAGACACCCACAGCACACGTCAGCTCAAAGGTCCTTCTGACATCCTGAGACTTTCCCAGAAGAAAGCTCATCCAGAGAGCACGGAGAGATCCATGCCAAATGGAATGGCTGCTAGAAAAACCAGGGCAGACACACACTCACCAAAGAGCTGGGAGGGATTCGCGTTGGTGGCCTTCTCGTAGTTGGTGAGTCCTTCGTAGATGACCTTCCCGACGGCCGCGTAGAGGCACTCCAGCTCTTCATACTTGGAGGCCACGCTGGAAGTGCCTGCAACAGAAGCGAGAACGTGGGTCCTGTGGTTCGGGTTCTCAGGCCTGTCCGGGCTCTGCGAGGTCAACTTTCCTCACACTAGACACTGAGCTTTAGTTTTCTTGGGATCTGCGGCAACGGGCCTGGGTGCTTCTTTCCCACTGCAGGATGCGTGGTGCTCCTCTCTGGGCTGCTTCTGACTTGACCAAGCTAAATGACGTCTTATCTCACCACACCTAACTGGAACACGCTCAAGACACACTTATGTGGGATACGCCAAAATCCGATCTTGGCAGCTGCTCGACATTTGACAACACATTATAACCCAGTTCCCCTTTACTGCCTTAAGGAAACGGTCACATTTGGCTGATGAATAACAGCATTTCCAAAGCAAAACAAAAGATACAACGTCATGACTGCTGCCATTAAGTTCTGATGTCTATTTTTTTTTTTTTTTTAAAGGAAGGTTGAAGGCACAAAGAAAAGCAGGATAATAAAACGCTCCCTACGGTAGCCAGAGAATGAGCACTCTCAAGTGACACGCTCCATGCCCTCCCATCCACTCAGGCACCAGGGGAAGGGTCACCTACTTGGCTCTGTTGGGAAAATGCTCATTAGGCGGGAGAGGAGGCTATGGACCGCTCGGAGAACCTTGGTGTTTGCGCACGTCATGCACGCGGCGATGCCTCGCTGCAGGGGTTTGAAGCTACTGAGGATGGCTGGAGACTGGAGGACAGTGAGCAAGAAACTCAGCACTTCCAGCCCCGTGCAAATATTTCCATAGTTGACTTGATTAGGCTGCTCCTGGAACGGAGAACACAGGTCACACACGGACGACATCAATACGCTGGTACAGTCCGTTACAGAAACACAAATCAAGCACAATTTGAAATTAGTTAAACCTATTTTAAAAGCTCATGAAAAATACTAATACTCAATATTAAAAGGTGAAAATCAGGGGTGCCTGGCTGGCTCTGTCTGTACAGCATGTGACTCTCAATCTCAGGGTTGTGAGTTCAAGCCCCATGTTGGATGTAGTGATTACTTAAAAATAAAACTTATAAAAAAAAAAAAAAAGGAAAATCCCTAAAATTGGTCTAAAAAAGCAATCACTGAATTCCATTTCTCTCATATCATTTTTACTTACAATACAAATATCCTTCCAAAAGGAAGTATCTTTGAGACTGTGGGTCATGAAATCAATCTAACAGATGATGCTAGCATTAATAATAATAATAATAATAATAATAACAACAACAATAATAACAACAGAGGGGCGCCTGGGTGGCTCAGTCAGTTAGGCGGCTGCCTTCGGCTCAGGTCATGATCCTCGGGTCCGGGGATCGAGCCCCACGTCCAGCTCCCTGCTCAGCGGGGAGCCTGCTTCTCCCTCTCCCTGCTGCTCTGCCTACTTGTGCTATCTCTCTGTCAGGTAAATGGGTAAAATCTTTAAAAAAATAAATAAAAATAAAAAAATAATAATAACAGAAAATACAGTGTACGGTTTGCAGTCAAGTATTGCTCCTTGAAACGTTTGTTTCTGTGGCTTGCACACAGATGCCCTGCACATACACCGTGTGTGCTCACTGGGTTGAGATAAAATCTTCCACTTACTATGGGAACAAGGTGGAAAGTTGTTGTGAGCTCGGCACTCTGCATCATGAAAATGTTAGCCTATTACGTGCCAGAGGCCATCCACTAATGGCTGAGCTTGACTCAACCGTGACTGCGTATGACAGTAATTTGAATCAGAGCATGTACTGCACACAGGCAGCCTATGATCACACTGTTTTCATAGCACAGGGAATCTTTATAACCTTTCAAAAACTGAGGCAATTATGTTAGTCTTTGCAATGCAATATAACAAAGATTTAAAATGGGGTTGCAGCTGCCAGAAATTACTGGATCATGGTTTTTACAGAAATAAACCAAATAAAAAACCCACCAAATAATCAGCACTGGGGGCTAATTTCTTTGCTACCAGACTTTACAGCGCTCAGTAACAAATTATATGTTCCCTTTAAAAATTCACATTTATTTTAGAGGTTGTGGCATAAATCAACTAAAACTATTTATCCCAAGCCAGCTGGGAAGTCAGTTTAAGAAACAAGATTTCAGTAGCCAAGAGAACTATGACGTTTCCAAAGCTCCTCACTGCTTGGGGCTGGGGGTTCAAGCTCAACTTTTAAAATCTCTTTTCCGGGGAGTGAAACTCCCTGCTCCTCCTTAGCAGCCACGACTGGCTGAGGGACCGGCGGGTTCAGGGTTCAGCGGCCCGGCCCCAAGCCTAGGAGCGGGGGATAGACACAGGCACCCACCACACTCATCAGCAGCTTGTCGAACCACTGCAGTTTGAGCTCAGACTTGGACCACATGTCCGGTCGCAAGGCGGTCTTCAAGAGAGTCACGCACCGGCGAGACAGCACCTCCCCAGGAGACCCGGCCGTGTTGGTGTTGTCATTGACCTGAAAATGCACTCAGATTCAAGGCCCCGTCTCACCGTGAACATCCTCAAGCCTGACGCTGCCTCTCGCCCGTGCAGCCCAGCTTTCTCCTCCCGGCCACCTCCTCTCCCACCTGACTCAACGGGGCCTCCTCTGCCTCAGGGCCCCTCTCAGACAGGGCCCTCCTGCTCCCTTGCTAGGGGGTCAGGTCAGTGGGGATGTGCACTCATTTGTGTGACGGATGGATCAGTATCAGGCGGCTCCCCAAGAGCAGGGCCTGAGCTAATCCCCAACCCCATAGATCTCCTGGGCTGTGCCTAGCGTGCCAGAGCACCAAGAAGGTACTGGTTCGAAAATTTAGTAGAGTCTTCTCAGTACTCTGAAATCCTCACCAGTATGGCAAGACCTACTATTCTGTTTAATAATTATACAAACTTAAGATTCCCAAATTCTTAAAAAAAACTAGTTAGAAAAATTTCATTTATGACGTTTTTTTGAAAGGAAAAATGAAGTTTCAGAAATAGATTTCCAACAAATCCATGAAAATACACTGACGTGAATAACAAATTTTATTTATTTATTAAAATATTTCATCTATTTATTTGACAGAGAGAGACACAGCGAGAGAAGGAACACAAGCAGGGGGAGTGGGAGAGGGAGAAGCAGGCTTCCTGCTGAGCAGGGAGCCCCATGCGGGGCTCGATCCCAGCACCCTGGGATCATGACCTGAGCTGAAGGCAGATGCTTAACGACTGAGCCACCCAGGTGCCCCACAAACACAAGTTTTAAAGATACTTAAATTACTAAATGTTGTACATCATCTATGTATGTTGGATCATCCCAGCAGCACCTTTATGAGACAGGTACCTTGGAAGTTAAATAATGTGCCCAACATCACTGATCTACTGCCATTGTTTTGCCAACACCACGGTGCCCTTAATTATAAGATACACCCTTATTGGGGCGCCTGGGTGGCTCAGTTGATTAAACGCCTGCCTTCGGCTCAGGTCATGATTCTGGGGTCCTAGGATCAAGCCCTACATTGGGCTCCCTGCTCAGCGGGGAGTCTGCTTCTCCCTCTCCCTCTGCTGCCACTCCCCCACGCTGCCATTTGTTCTGTCAAATAAATAAATAAAATCATAAAAAAAAAGATACACCATTATTTTATCACCACTGAAAGAAAAAAACCTTTCAAAAAAATCTTATCACTCATAAAACATAGGCAGGTTTCAGAAATATTAGCATGTCATGAAATCAGCGAAATTTGGTATGAAAGTGACAGAGCTAGCCTCAGACCTTGGTTTGTCTATTTCTATCGGAGATAACATTCTGGATTCTACTAAAAAGTCTTTGTTCTCAGGAACCCCTAGCAGAAGACATCCCCAGGAAGCCGCACCTGACAAGCCACGCGGATGAGGAAGTTCACCACGGTGTCTGTGTGCTGCTTATCGATGGGCTTGGCAAGAAGGGAGTCTGCTCCGGGCAGCGACTGGCTCCTCCCAAACACCTAGAAGAGGCAGCAAGAGCATCTCAACGATGCATTCCCAATGCAGGGCACTTGTGCAGCCAGCTCACAGGATGAGGCCCTCCCGGGGGCAGACGCTGTTCTGCGCGCTGCCCGGACTCAGATTCGGTAAGAGAGCCATCGGTCCTCTGCTTTGTGGAATGTGTGTGGGAGAGGAGGGAGAGGAGCTGGGAGGCTCTGCAGTGAGCCGGCAGGGCGAGCACCAGGAAGACCTGCTTGCCACCGCCGTGGGCAGACACGTAAATGGACAAAAGCTCACGTGGTTCCGGGAGTCCAACCTGAGCACAGGTGGATGCAGGGACCACGTCCTCGGGAGGAGTGGTGAGGGGAGGGACAGTTCAACCGAGGCACAAAGTGACAGAGTCATCACCTCCACAAGGGGCGAGGAGAGCGAGCATCCCCAGGGCTCTCTTGGCGGCTGCCCTCCAACAAAATAGGACATAATCTTTTAAAATACCGAACACAACATGGGTGCACGTTCTCAATCAATTTTCTTACCCTACAAGTTTCCCTCCGAGCCTTACTGCAAGGAATGAACCATTCTCCTCAGAACTCTGAGGGTATTAAACGTGCATCAAGAAAAACGTGTGCTGACTTGGGAAACACCCGTGGGTAAGCTGGGTGTCACTGGGTTTCTCCCTGTTGAGCGCAGCCTTTCCCAGCTGTGTCTTGGGCACGGTGCCGGGTACTGAGGCCACACTCAGAATTTGTGGAACAAATGAACGAACTCCTTCAAGGAAGCGCAGAACCCATAAAAGCAAGCACACGTGGCATGCGTGCACACTTACCGCGCTGATGGCTCCCGTGGCCGTCCTGAAGCGTTTCACCTCCTGGGCGGAATCCACCGACAGGCCTCTTTTAATGGAGGATGAGACAGAGTTGATGCCTTCTCCACTTGAATTTGGGTCCATGTCTGAATCCGGCTTAAAGATACATAAACACACACACACGTGACTTTATGGAGTGATTTCTAGGGAGAAGCAGAAGGAACGTCATCTGGGACGACAGAAGTCTGGTGGCCATACCTGCTGGTCCTTGATCCTCTGCAATTCCCACTTGATGACGACTTCGGACAGGTCCACGGCCAGCCTCCTCTGCTCGATGGTGACGCTGGGCGTAAAGCCTAACCTCTGCATGGCGCTGACCATGTGCTGCACCAAGTGGTGTCGCACTGGGTAGTACACCTGTGGGCACGGGCTCTGCATCACCCCAGGGCTGCGGCACCACGCCTCCGACACCCGAGCACGAGGATGCACATGCGCACACACCAACACGCACACACATGCACGCACATATACGCGCACTTAACCCAGACTCCTGCTCAAGACTTCTGACCTGTGACTTAGCAAGGAAATTCTCATCACCTTATGGATGTGTGTGAGTATTCATCACCCCCCACCCCAGCCCCTCGCTGAATCCCAATAGAACACTGTACTTCAGCCCTTTAGTACCATCTTTTTTTTTTTTTTTTTTTTAAGATTTTATTTATCTGACAGAGAGAGACACAGAGAGAGAGGGAGAGCACAAGCAGGAGCAGAAGGAGAAGGAGAAGCAGGCTTCCCGCAGAGCAGGGAGCCCGATGCAGGGCTTGATCCCAGGACCTTGGGATCATGACCTGAGCCGAAGGCAGACACCACCCAGGCACCCCCCATTTAGTACTATCTTTAAAGAATGGTGAAACACCGGGGCGCCTGGGTGGCTCAGTGGGTTAAACGTCTGCCTTCAGCTCAGGTCATGATCCCAGGGTCCTGGGATTGAGCCCCGTGTCAGGCTCCCGGCTCAGGGGGAAGCCTGCTTCTCCCTCTCCTTCTGACCCTCCCCCCGGCTCATATGCACGCATAGTCTCTCAAATGAATAAAAAAATCTTTAAAAAAAAAAAGTTGCAACACTGAATTCTCTTTAGGTAGGCAAAACTAGTAACATGTACCAAAGTTCAGACTTGATGTCACAGACACTCAGCCATACCAAGAGGCAAATCTCCAATTCTAAAAGAGCTGGCTATAAAGAATTTTCTCCTCTACCTGAAATCTACAAGAAGTATTTACATTTGAATCAATCTAACAAAGTGGGGGATTTGGCTCTAGAGAAGGAGGTGCCAACGACACAAACAACTCTTCAAGCCAAGTTACCAAAACCTAGAGTTAACGATGACTACTTCCCAAAGTACTAATTATCGCTACTCACTGTTACCCGAGTACTTACAAGAAAAACACAGTCCTAGACAGAAGCAGATACCTGGGACATAGTCTCTAAACCAGAACCATTTCCATGTTGACAAAGCACCCCTCCATCCCCAAACACACAGCGAACCAGAAATACCTTTACTAAAAGATGAACAGCCACCTTATTAATGCAAATTAAAGATAAGCAAAAGGGCAAAGCCAATGCCTGAGCATGCAGAACAGCCCTGTCTACAGTACTTTCTACACACCTTGAAATGCTGCACAATCAGATGCAGAATGTGAACCAGCTGAGGGACCGTGTGGCCCTCCTCCACGATGATCTTCCTCGTCCAGTGGGTCAGCATCTGGTGCCCGTCCTCCATCCTAGCAGGCACCGCTGGAGTCAATATGGCCATCGCTTGTCTGACAATCGCTCGAGCTTCCATCGCGTGGGCCTTGAGCAGACTGTGAAATACCTAACGCAGGGAAGAGACTCTTACTTGGGAGGAGAACGAAGGCTCAGGGAAACAAGAAAAATCCCAATCACTCTGAACCAAGGCAGGGTATTTCTGCAAAATGATTTTTACAAAATTCCTTAGGGCTGTCTCATTAGAAAAGAATGCAGTTGCTTTCTCCTTCCTTAAGTTCTGAGTGATGAACACATTCATTCTTTCCCTCCTGAGCACCCACTTTGGGCCCACGCTGGGCTAGCGTGCCGTATACAAAGATGAGTGAGACCTAGCTCTCTGCAGGAACCTGCTCTAGTGTAACCCATGGGAAGTCAGCTGAAGCGCAGAGACCCTTTCTTTCTGGCCACCGTGTGGCAAATGGAGCTGAAGGTGCTGCTGTCAGAGGCAGTCTCGGAATAGTGCAAGTGAGAGGTGACATCCTGAGGTAAATAAGGTCAGAGGACACAAAGACCACCTGACAGGTGCTGAGGTTGGAGGGGACAGGACAGGTGTTGGAAATCAACAGGATCTGCCCACGATCGGACACCAGGGGGCACTAGAGGGTGTCAGGGATGGTCCCTGGGTCTCTGGCCGGGGGGACAGCGCCACAGAGACATGGCTGTGGGAGGTGATGTCTGAGGTCATGGGCTTTGTCGAGGTCTGGGGTTTAACACCACAGAAGCTCACAAGACGAAGCGGTCAGAGGAAAACAATTAGAAGTGACCTCACAGAATAGGACAAGGGAGATCATTTATAAAATGTTAATGGGACAGACAGGCTGAGCACTGAAGTATATCACTACCTTTAATTCTTACAGACAATAACTGACTCACTCAGGGTCACAGGAACTTGTGACCGCAAATAACAAACTCAAATCCAGGGCCGCCTGGCATCAAGGCCTAAACCACTGAGGGACTCAGGGAAGATGTGCTCGTCGTCAGCAGAGGGTCAGTACAACACGAGGTTCTGAAGTGCCTCGTATCTTTAGCTAAGGAGTGGGCTGGGCCCTTCCAGAATGGTTTCAACGGACCAGCAGAATGGAAGCCAGGAGAGGAACGCACATGCGTAGAGGAGCATGAAGTGGACAAGGGAGATATTTTGTTGTTTTGACGGCAAGGCTGCAGAGGAACGAGAGAGCAGAGCAGTAACTGGGGAGGGAGGAGAGAATGCACAGTCACGGGAGAGTTCACGGCGCTTGTCAGATGGCAGGAACGAGCATTTTTAACGGCGCTGGGAGGGACAACAGGGAAGGAGGCCGCAACGGTAGGAGGGGGCGGCGCGTACATGTGCGCAAGCCCACGGAGTGTCGGGGGGAGTGGGGGGGGCCTCACGGTACCTGAAGGACGATTTTCTTGTGTATGGCGAATTTGGCGATGATGTGCGCCAGAAGCAGGTGGCCACTGTACTTGCAGGCCGGGTCCACACAGGCCTTAGAGAGCAGGCAGGGCCACGCGAAGGTCATCAGGCGGCGCAGCTTGCTGTTGCGGTTCTTGTTGTTGTCGTGGATGTGGTGCGGCGCGTGCTCCACCAGCAGCGTGGCGTACTGCAGCAGGTAAATCCTCAGGGAGTCCAGCATGTCCGCCTGCTTCTCCGGGTCCAGGACCTGCGGGAGACACGCGCAGGAAAGCTCATTTCTGGCCCTGCATCGAGCCACCCGCTAAGGGTTACACGACACGCTTGAAACTTTTAAACCGTGCGCACGCGCACACACGCACGCGCTCTGTATGCGTACATAACATCAAGTTTCACAACAAGGGAAGCAATAATGTCACATCGAGTTCCCTTTTACGTGCGTGGATTAGAAACTCACTGAATTTATTTCAATGCCGGAGGGCAGGCACCCCCTGCAGCGGGTGAAGGAACTTGAGGGGACAAGGAGGGCCTCCTCTTTGACACAAGGTGACTGATTCAGGGTGGAGTTTCTTAATTTCCAAGTAGTTGGGATTTTTCCTAGTCAGCTATTATCTAGTCCTGATTTTTCAGTATTATGATCAGGAAATGCTACCTAGAAAACAAATCTCTACTTTAATGAAACTGTTAGTTTTTGATTGAATCAAGTATCTGATAGATTTCCGCATTTTATGAAGATATGAGAAAAAGTGCACCCCGAAGAACACTCCACATGTCTCTCCTGAATCCAGTGCACGCCAGCATCGTTCAAGTGGGCGTCCTGACCACCTTCCGTCTACCAGGAAGCTCTGAAAGGCTGACGTCTCCCCCACAACTGTGTTTTCATCAGGGCCCCTTGAGTCCCCTAAGCACCCTCCCCCCTGGATTTGCTGCTTCCCGATGGCCCCACCCCAGGGCCCCCACCTGCGTGCTGCCATCTGTCCTCTGACACTCAAATCCCAGCTCCTCACTTGTGCCGCGTCAGCAGCATCCAACCCAAAAGACAGTGTAGAGAAGGCAGCACGGGGGAAGGGGCCGCATCTGGGTGACCATCTCCCCACAGTTGCCCAGAATAAGGCAAATACCAGCATGGGGACTCACAAAAGATCCCTTGGGCTCAGCTCGCATTCCTAGAGAGGGTAAAGGTGGGGTGAAAACTGCAGGAAGGAGGCCTGTCTTTAGGGACAAAGACTACATAAGGACCAATAAACTGCCAGTGAGAACAACAGTCCCCTCCACCTGCACCCCAGGACGGAACAGCGACCGAGGGGAGAAACTGAGTACTTCCCAAAGGCATTCGTGCATATGCGGCACGCTGCTGAGGAATGCCCGCTGCTCACAGCACGCCAGCGGAACGTGTAAACGGAACACTCTACCAACCTCAAGGCAAACGCAGCAGCTGGCAGCAAAGTTCGAAGGCCTGCCGTGCACGGGACAGGCCCGGTGAGGAACACTGGGTGGGCATTTCTCAAAGAAACACACCACCCCTCTGCTGCAAACTGGAAACACAACCATAAAAATGCAGAGACTGTAACACCTAAGGTAACTTCAGACATCACTGCTGCTACAACCACGGTTTAGTGAACTTGACAACCAGATCTGGTCTGATGTTCCCACTGATTTTTGGTAGGTTGTTTTGCAAAGCTAAACATGTAAACTGTACTTCAAATACGACCAGCAAAAGGGATTTTTACAAAATAACTCTGATAATCTGAGTTTTCACTGACATAAGTTCTATTTCTCACTGGGCTCTATTAGTGTGGAAAGTCAATCCATCCTAAAGTAAAGCTGCCTTTAAAACTGTACCAGTAAGAATTATAATGCTCTACTAAAAATGCAAGCATGAAAAATAAAAACCTTAGAAAAATATGTTTTTCAATGAACCCATCACACACGCACACACACTCACACGCACACATTCTCTCTCACTCACTCATCTGCTAAGTTACTTTTTGCGCCAACATATTACTAGTGATGCCACCTTGGTTATAAACACGCTGGTGATGCTTTCCGGGTTATCGCCTTCTGGATTGGGAGGTCCTAAGAGCTGTTCTCCTTCCCCCTTCTCAAAGCTGTACAAGAAAGCAGGATTCAAGATATGCTGCAGAACCTACAAAGAAATTTAAAAATGAAGGAGGAGGAAAAGCAAAGCCATGCTCTTCATTTCTCTACTAAGGTGGGTGGGACCACCAGCGGGTCACTTTGCACCCGAGAAGTTAGAGCTCAGTCAAGGGTGTGACTCATCATCCTGTCTTTTACTCAAGCAGTCGGCTGGAAAGGGACAGTGAAACAGGAGGAGATGCGACGTCAGTCCGTCTAATCTTCTCATGTCTGATAAGTCATTTTCTAAACACAAGGACACTAACAAACTACTTCCCAACACCGGTTCACTCCGGATCTGTCGTGTGCTCCTCAACAAGGGCCTTTTCCTCACAAACAGTCCAGACCACTGTGGACACAGCAGAACACCAACAGTGCCCTCGCTTCCCTAGAAAACGAGCTCCTACACCCGCAGCTCCCCCTGCCTCACAGTGGGACTCACCTTGGCTTTCAGTTCATCGCCAAAGTTGGGGTCATTGAAGTCCACAAAACGAAAAAACAGGGCACGTTTTTGAGAAATGTTGTAATTTTTGGGAATCTCTTCCTCCATATACTCCTTCAAGAACGTCATGTTGCAGAGAAAACGACCCGTGAAGGCCCGGAGCAGCTGGAACAGCAATTCTATATCTCCATAATTCCTTCTGCAGGGCCAAACAAGAACAGATTAGGTCACGGCCCGCTTCATGGCTACATACGATCTCCGAGTTGCCTTTAAACAGCTCAAAGTCCCAGTCTGTTCTCTGTAACAAACATGACTACACGTGGCCAGTGAACCACAGCCCAGCCCAAACTCCCAGACAGGCTCTGGTTTCGCCTGCAGGCCAGAACAAGTCACTCGACGTGAAGACAAACGGATGCACCCACTTGCAGTAATTCAGCAGACAGTAGGCCAGCAGCTTGGGCTCCTTCCAGTTGGTGGCAGCCATGTTCTCTTTCCGGTGTCTTTCTTGAAAGGTTTCGCTGACCCACACGCGTCTCAACTGACTCACCAGAGAATGCTGATTGGCCAGCCAGGAGTCATCGTTTTTAACTATGATACTTATGATCTGTCAAAGAAGCAACAGGGTTAGGGAACTGACAGGGTTCTCTGTGCGTCTTGCCTAAACTTTTAAGATTTCAGGTGCTCAGTGAAGAGACGCTACCTTGATGGCCTGAAACTGAAGGTCCAGGCGCATGGTGCTAGTGCTGGGGGAGCCGGGGCGCACGGCGGTCTGGGTGCCGCCAGGCACCAACAGAGTGATGAACCGGTTGGGGTTAGCTGCCAGCACGTCTCGCAGAGGTCTGGCATCTTTGTGTTTTAAAAAACTCTGAAAACAAAACAAAACGAGCCATTTTAAGCTAGTCAAAACCCACAGAAGATTTAGATATTCTGAATTCTAAGGTTCTTTCTAATCTCCCTAGGCAGGCTAAAAAGTCGCTATAAACACCCTTTTAAAAAAAAATGCTTCTTAACAGTAATAACACTTTGTGATTATGGATTTCATGATCCCAGCAGCTCATTCATTTGTCACCACCACCAAAATCCTCAAGAAGGATCACCTCCACTCCAACTTTTCACATACACACCGATGATGTTTCAAACGCTCGGATACACGACAGAAAAAATAAAGCCGAGGCGCTGGACAGTGAAATAGGAATTTCAGATTTCAGAGCACACTGGCTGACACGAATCTGCAGGGACACCTGACTCCAGCTCCCCGCGTGCCTACCATAAACATTCTGCTCCACTGGGGATCATTCAGGGTAGCTTCCATCATGAACAGCTCTACCGTCTGTGAGGGGTGCCGTGTCAAGAACTTGATCAGAGGCTCTCTGAAGGGACTGCCAGCCTAGAAAACATGGGGGGAAACGGCGTCTTCTCGGGGCTTGAGGCTTCGTTGGTCTAAGACCTACCATGGCAGGAAGAGGCATGTCTCCCCTCCGTAAACCAGAGTGTGCTACAGCCATAAGCAAATATTAACATCAAACATCTTCAGGCTGTTAGATCAATCCATCTAAAATCTAACGAAGTGAAAACATCACAAGCCAACACATGGAGGAAGAATCAGAAGTAACCCTGAGTTTGACCATTACCTCAATCAACATAGCCCGTTCAGTTTTCATCACCACCTCTAACAAAGGCTTGACCAGAGTTTGAGGTGCAGCTGGGATCAGGTGAAAAAGGTTTATAATTGCCGAACAAATTTTCATTTCCTAATGAAGAAAACCAGAAATTACAAAATAGGCCAATTAATTTTGCCAGTTAGAGATACCAACATTACTACAGACCCTACTATGGTCTAGCTACATTCGCAAGGCTAGCCACCAGAAGCGAAGAATTAACATGTAAAAAGCCACAATTTACCAAGGTCAGGTTACTGCTGTGGCCCAAGGGAACTAACTGCCCTTGGCGTTCAGATTTCCCCTGTCAATGGAGGGGAGAAGGAGCTGTGTGCCCCCATGTGACTGGGCTGCGTCTGTTTTCAGCAACAGGGCCAAGTGTTGGAAGTGAGCTGGGGGTTGCCCGCGCAAGCCCCTCGTGGAGGAGGGGACGAGCATGCCTGTGGCTGTGAGAGTGTTACGATTCCCCCGCTTTGCTGTGACATCATGGGGTCTTCCCGGTACCCTAAGTTCTGAGGGCACAGACTTCTTCTGTCCTCAAAACTTAGCACAAAGAAAGTCTTCAAAACATCCTCAAGTATTTATCCTGAAAATTAAAGATTTGTGTAAATATACGACTGACCATGGTACTAAGTATTTGTCAACCAGGCCTGAAGATGAGGCTGGCAAACTGCTCTACTGAATCATATGGAAAATGTGAAATGCCAAGATTTCCGCACTTTTTAAGGTGCTAACAGCTCAGTGGTCAATCGCTCTTGTTCCAACGTTCTGTTCTCAGCGGCAGTTCCCATAGTTTGGAATCTGCAATTCAAAGAGATCCCACATGGCCACAGCCATGGCCAGAGAAGGGAAGACTCCCTGATGTACCACCCTGCCTTGTGCGCAACAGGAGGTCCGTCACACTCAGCACAGTAAAATGGGGATGATAAACACTCGTCAGGAGGGACCACATCCCAGTAGCATCTGGGATACTTCCCCGAATGCCTCTACGAAGAAAATGGGAAAGAAGAAGAAAAGAGAGTTCTCTTCTATGGAATTTCCAGGTCTGCACACAGAGCAAGCTCTACTCTGAAATCACAACGTACTCATGACAGCACTTTTGCATTATGGGTTTTCGTTTTCAAAGCGCAATCAAGAAATCACTTCTTTTGGTCTTCCCAACAGCACTGGAAGATAGGACTGACGGATGTCATCATCCCCATTTTACAGCAGAGGGAAAGCTCCGGGTTTGTCCGAAGTCCCAGTGTCGGGACTACGTCGGTGTGGTGTATGTGTGCAAGAGATGCGGGGCACTGGGCGCGCGGAGGGGCAATGAGGTCTTAAACTCCAGGTAGGCAGGCACTTAGGAGTGTGAAAGAAAATAGAGCTCCTCCCAATTCCTAGCAGGTATAATATTCTTTGTGTAGTTTCCTCCCAAGAGGTTGTGAGATATAGGAGCTCATACGAACATTCTGAGAGCAAAACCCAGTTGAATCTGAAATGGTATTGAAATAATTGCAATTCGAACATGTAAAAACCAAAGAACTTAGAATCTTGCTTAAAACGTCCTGACAGGAAACATGCGTGGCATCCGGACAGTTCACAGGAATGGTACTAATACGACTCTGCCACAGACAGACGATACGGCTCACTGCACTCCAAGGCACAACGCACTCTGTCCACCACAGAACCACAAGTCACAGCAAAACCAAATACGACAACACCCCCTCCTGCATCTCCACTGAGATTCTCACCTCTACCCCTTCCATGGCAGGCTGAACCAAAACAAAAATTACAGCATGAAAAAAGGCAACAAAAAGGTAAAAAAGAAAAGAAAAGAAAATATAAACTGTTCTTCACAGTGCAAGTCATAAACTGACTTTAATAGGGTTGTTCTCACCTCAAACTGACAGAATGGAGACAAGGAACATCTCCCGCACTCGGAAATGCTTTCCTGAGGATGGGGAGGAAAATCATCTTTTTTCTATTTATGTTATTTACATAAAAACTTCCCATATACTCATACACAGTAAGGATTATTGGGGGAAACAAGACAGTAAAGACAATTATCAAAAAGCACACAATAATTAACAAATGCTCAACAGCAAAAAAAGTACAGCTTCCACCCTTCAGATGTCAAAACAGAGCCCTTCAGATAGTGTAGGACAGCATACATCCTTTCCCTAAATCAAATTTAAAAAGCAGGAATTTCGGAATTCTCGCCCAGGGGGAGAAACTGTTGTAAGCAAATACATTTAAAAATCTGTTTTTGTTTCGAGTAAGTTACGATCTTTATGCGCAGCGCTGACGTTAAAGAAATTTTCCTCCTCTTTCCCAGAGGAAATCTGGAGAGTACCAGGTGGTTCAGCCCCCTTAACTGGGCATGTGTGAGGCCCCCACACCTGGAAGAACCCGGAGGCCATGATGCCACCCACAGGTAGCTGGGTTATTTTGGGAAGTGAAGCTGTGTACGCACACAAATATGGCACGGCAAGGGGGTCAGGCATTCTCCCCTGGGAGCGCAATGCTAAAACGGCAAACCTTCCTAAACACGGTGCTCGTGCAAAGCTCTGATCATCAGGGTACCCAGCATCACAGAAAAGCTTGTATTTGTTTTCTTATAAATAGTCCACTTATTTAACATGTCTTCAGTTGCAGGTTCTCAATCATGTAATATTATTTGGGGATTCAACCAAATGAGGACAAACTACGATCCAAGATCCATTCCCAATCCTGAACAACATCCATAAAAAATGATCAGAGCTCAAGAGCAGAAAGGCAGCTTGGCCCTGGGCTGAGGTGATGAAACTGTGGGCACGCTGCCCAAACACCACAGCCTGAGGCCACCCCCGCAGAGCTGGGTGTTCCCAGGCCGGTCAGGGAGTGGACTCCTATGATGGTCATGACACGTTTCTGCAGGAGCTGGAGGACTTCCCGGTGCCCACAGCTCCATCTCCTGCCCACTGCCCCGGCCCCAACCAAGGAGCCCTCCAAATAACCTGCTGTAAACGTGGATGGAATCTTTCTGATCTAATGGAAATCATTCAATTGCCCCCTAGAGGTTGTTAAATGTTTATTCTAGAACTAGCTGTGTGTTTCAGAGAATTAACAGACTATAAAACAAATATAAAATTTAGAGCAAAAATACCTAGCGGATGAGAGGTGGGGAGGAAAAGCACAGAGGTACCTGCACCTACTCCCAAGAGTTTAAGCTTTGAACATACACTCTGCTCTCCCCCATGAAGAGTTCCTGGTTTTTCCCTGTGTGTATGAATAACAAACCTTCAAAGAGGTCATGGTAGTGTAACATTCCTAAAAAAAAGTGTAAAATCCTGGTTTAGTTTTGCTTAGTTGGCTGTTTTTAGAAGCAGCAGGAATTGAGACTTACATAAACAAAACACCTTGACATAGAATGGCCAAAACAAAGCATAATAAAGCCAAAAAAAAAAAAAGAAAAAATCCAAGTTGGGATGAAACACAGCATCCAACAAATACGCACAGGAAGACAGAAAGCCACGTTGATTATGCCCCTGAAGAGCTAGAGAATCCCCTCGTTAGGACACTGCCGTACAATTTCACCAGGTGTAACAGGACCTTAGGGAAAACACGATCCTACCGATAGGACAGTCATCAACTTAAAAAGTATTTTAAACGAATATTAACATATACAAATTAGATTCAAAACAGCAAGAACCATTATGTCTAAAGAGTGAAGTCTTAAAATGACCAACATCAGACACGTAAAAAAATTTAACTAAAGTAGGTTTCCCTTAAAGCCATAAAAATGTGTTTTGAAGTCCTGGCCGTTTGATTTTTGGCAAACAGTTGGGATGGGGGATTCGGACCCGTCAACATACATGCCAGTATTTATGTGATGCTTTGCTATGTTATCCTCAGTGTCTAAAGTCCTGAAACCTACACTCAGTTTCATGAGGCAGTGATGATGGGAAGCCATGGGAAACCACAGCTGAGGAATGCACCACCATGCAAACAGCAGCTGCCAAGAACAGTCTAGAAAATACACTTTATACACTTTACAGCAAAACCAGTAAAATTAAAATACTAACATTTCAAGCTTCCCAGAATTCTCAACGAAAAAGTTGTATTAAAGTGAAGAAAGGAGATTTCAAAGAAACACAAAAAGGAATGTTCAATAATTAAGAAAAATAAAGGCAAAACGTAATGCTAGTAAAAGATGTTCAACAATTTACACGCCTAGAATTACATAAACTGGGTTCTGACCGGTATTTTAGTTAAAAGCACTGCTCCGACATTAACATCGCAAACAGCAGTGCCCGGCGCGGTTGCCCTTCCCAGAAGCAAACAAGTCACTCACGTTTCCGTCGCTCCTCTGGCCCCCTTTGTGGGTGAGGACCACCACTTCCATCCACTTTCGTAGATGTTGCTGTTGAAAAAAACAACATCCTTAGACAGCTTTCCCTCACACACGATCAGTTCAATTCCATGCTGTTCTTAGGTGAAGATTCATAAGTAATCATCATTTTCCATCATATTCAATGTGAAGATGGCAGTGTTCAAATTTGAAACAGCCTGACCTTTGAACTAAAAGGAATAACGGGCATTTGCCTCATGTCGCATGAGCAGAAGGCGGAATTGACCCTGATGTCACAGAAAACGTCCTGAAACCTGGCCATTCTGAGACTGGCATTTTACTGCTGTGCTCCTATGACCACCTTACTTTGCGCTGCACCTGTTCATGGAGAGCCTCGAGGAGCCAGGCATCAGGCCAGGCCCCCGGGGGGAGAGGGGAACAGGCGGACATCATCCCTAGCCTCATTCCAGCTCAGCTTCCAGTGGGGAGAACCAGGTGAGATACACAGTCACGGTAAGGGGAGGAACAGGAATCAGCTGGAGAAGGGGGTCAAGGTCCCCCCCCCCCGCCCCCGGCTGAGGCAGACTCTCCAGAAGCTCAAGCACACCAGGCAGAGAAAAGGAGACGCAAAGGCCCTGAAGCCACCAACAGGAGGGCTGGCCGCTGTATATGGCTGAGGAGCAGAGGGCACAAGGGGGGCGTGGGGGATGGGCCGGTGAGATGAGCACGGATCCCATTTGGTCAGAGGCTGCAGAGATGAGTGCAAACAGGAAGCAATTCCACTCTGTGCAGAACCAGGGCAATCGTTATGTGATCAGACTCAGTGTTCTAGGGCAAGAGCACGAGAAGAGAGATCCCTGAGCCCAGAGCAACTCTGGCCTGACCAGGGCACACGGCAGCCAGGCTCCCAGCCATGGTGTCCAGCAAAACCTGGCAGATAAGCACTCAGAGCCTACAGGTAAAACCACAAGACTATCCAAATAACAGATCTACCCTCACTTCCCACACCGTCCAAACTTGTTCTTCACATACTGAAGCCCTACGGGAAGTTAACTAGGTGTTTTTAAAAAGGACTCCGTGGTCAAAGAGGCTTGGGGACAGATGACTTAAATCCATCTAAACACTTATTGGGCCAGCGTTCCAAAGAACACACACTGAGAAACACTAAAATATACATGCTTTCAAAGAAACTAAGTACATTAAGCTATTTGTCAGTAAAATTCCTGGAAAGATATTAATGATCACCAAGATCTAGATTCATAAAACTCTAACTTACAACAGCTACTTTACCAAAGATAAGAGAGGAACAAAACCAAAGGCGAAGGAAGCAGCCAGCTGCATCCCCTATTCACTTTGCTTTCAGATGCCCCAAAGGAAAAAAATAACACTAACTGTGTATAAATTCACTTCTAGCTCAATAAGGAGCTCTCCACAGCAAATACCCACATGAGAGACTTGAAAGTCAAATGTCCAGCAGTTCACATTTTTAAAAAGGCAAATTTTCAGGGTTGTTTTCATGAATGCCCATCCTACACAGCAGGGTGTCTTAGCTCTTAAAATTATGTTGAAGGCTTGAGCTGTGAACCTCAAAAACATATCATACGCAGGAAAACAAAGGCTCAGTGATCGAGCATGGCTCTAAAGAACAAGATTCAGAAGGGCCAGTGTGTGCTTGACCACCACCCTCCCCCCCAACCCAAGCGCGGCGGGCACGGGACACATCAGAAGCCATTGGCACAGACCCCGGGCTGGGCCCGGGCAAGGTGGGGGCCAGAGGAAAATGGCTGGACAGACGGCAACTCGGTCCGTCTTTACCCACGTATGTCAACACTGTCTGCTTTCAGAGACATTTTAATCCTTCTGAAAACAGCTCTCATGCCAAAAAAAAGGGGGGGAAAGTCCCCTCAACAACTGGACACACAAACCCCCGGACCTCACTGTAGGGAGAAAAGACTCCTGGCCTACGTCAGAAACTACGACTCTAAGGTAGCAGAGCAGTCTCTTCAGACCGCTCTCAAAATTCTGGGCAACAGCGGTCACTGAGTGAATTCCCAGCTCACAGCAAACGTGAAGGGTTAGCCAAGCGGTCGGCCAACCAACCAGCCACAAACATGTAGCCTCCGGCAGGCAGGCGAAGGCAGCAAGAAATGGCAGTGGAGAGGGAAGAGATGCAAACGACAAGGCCGGGCCATCTGGAACACAGCATGGGTCTCACGCTGCAAGCGCCAAGAGCTGCGACGTAATGGCAGATAAAGCACGGATCTGATGTGCTCGCGTCAGGAAGTGGCCGTGACCACACCTGCGAAGGTGTGCGTGCGCGGGATCTGATGTGCTCGCGTCAGGAAGTGACCGTGACCACACCTGCGAAGGTGTGCGTGCGCGGGATCTGATGTGCTCGCGTCGGGAAGTGGCCGTGACCACACCTGCGAAGGCGTGCGTGCGCGGGATCTGATGTGCTCGCGTCGGGAAGTGGCCGTGACCACACCTGCGAAGCTGTGCGTGCGCGGGATCTGATGTGCTCGCGTCGGGAAGTGGCCGTGACCACACCTGCGAAGCTGTGCGTGCGCGGGATCTGATGTGCTCACGTTAGGAAGTGACCGTGACCACACCTGCGAAGGTGTGCATGTTACACACATCTGGAAGCTAAAGAGGAAGGAGCTTTTCGATTCGGAAAATTTACTTCCATGGAATAGTGTTTCCCAGTAACACTCTAATAGGGCATCAGCTACAATTTTTAGGGCCAACCATAAGACTACCAACTCCCAGTTAGGTGTTTTGGTCACTGTTCCCTTCTTAGGTGTCTGCAGATATGAAGAAACCGTATGTGAGGTAAAAAGCTGTGTGGCCCCCATACAGCCATAGATGTGCACTCCACACACACTACATGTACTGCAGTTACCGAAACAAATACCTTCAGGACCCTGAGATGTCTAAATGGCCAGAGGCCACTTGAGAAACATAAGCATGAAAACTACGTGCACGTTTGCAGTCATGTACCCTGAAATCCTAAGTTATTTATAAACATCTACTTAACAGAAACAAAACTGAACAAATGCATAAGTTAATAGCTGAATCTCCTGCATCTGTTTATACTTCAAATTTAAACACTGTCAAACAGGCATTTTATTTGCATAATTACTTCCTTAGTAATTTCAAAAACCCTAAAGACTTCTAAAGTTCTTACACGTTTTTCACTACATCACTGTCCATAATAGCGAAAGACTGGGAGCAATCTAGATGCTCGTCAGTGGGGGAATGGTGAAATGAATTCTGGCATGTCCACGTACTGAAATATCATGTGGCCACGAGACAGAAGGAAGAAGCACTTCATGTTCTGATCTAAAATGATGAGTAGTAAATAGAAAAAGTAAGAACTGTGTGTATATGGTGCTTCCTTCTGAGGAAAAGAATGTATGTATGTTCTACTACAAATGTAAAACATCTCTAGATGGACATACAGGAAACCATTAACACTGGCTGTCCCCAGGAAGGGGAGGTGGGCTGCTGGAGTTCAGGGACGGGAGACTTTCACAGTACCCTTTCCACACTTCTGAATTTTACACTGCATATATATATAATATATACACACACATGTATATTACTTACCTAGAAAAAAATAAGCTAAAATTTCAGGTTGATTACAAACTATGTTTAATTGCATTTGGCTTACCATCATCTGATCACAAAATTTATCATTGAAGGAGTTTGGGAAGAGCCTGGTAACGGAAGTGAGACGATTCACGACGTTCAGCGTCAAGCTTCGATAATCCCCCAGCATCATCAACAAAGGCCGCATATGCGTATGGATTTGATCTACTTCTATGGTAGCACCTTCCAAAAACTATTTAAAAAGAAAAGTTACAAAGGAAAATAGACACCAGAATATACTTTATAATAAACTCATTCAGCTCTAGCAGCAAGTTTGTGGGATGTTAGCCACGTACATTCCAAAAACTTAGGATGAAATGAAGACTAGTCATTACTGTTGAATATTTTAAAAAGGCTCAGCGTGACTAGGAAACAAGCGGAGACAGTACTGGAATCCAGCGTGTGCTCATGCGAGGCCGACTTCCAGGCGTACAAACCAGGTGAACGGGAAGAACCCCGGAGACAGAACACACGCGCGTTCGCACGCACACGCCACTCACTCACCTTTCTCATGCAGGCTTCTCCGGCCTCCTGCAGCTCACTGTTTGTGGAATTCAGGGCTTTGAAGAGTGCAGCGATGATCTTCTCCCTGGACTGAGGAAGGTAATTGCAGGCAGCAAGCGCATCTTTAGGGAGAGAGATCAATACAATTTCATTATTAACCTGAAAAACATATGAACAATTTCGTCTAAAGGCTCTTACCAAACAACACCAAGTATCAATCACTGACGCACTTCCCAAGTGTCTGGCCTCGAGAAAGACCAAAGAACACATGGTGTCCTAACACATGTGTTCAGTGTTATCTAAGAGGGAAGTCAACAGCCTGTCAGAAAGGCCATGATAGATATTACCCCGTCCAGATAGAAGAAGGGCTGGAGGGGAAAAGGGACACCCAGTGACACCCCTTCCCTAAGACATCCCCATACAGGGCGAGAGGATGGCCGAGCTGCAGGCAGACGCACACTGAGGTGACACAGAGGGCTGGCCTTGAACTCTGGTGCTGAGGGAACACACACACGCGCCTGGCTTCTCTTCCACTATCCGTGTCTCATTAGGCAGCCTCCTCCCAACGTGGGGGGTTAAAGGCTCAACCCTCTCTGTTAGCTGAGAGATAATACCTGCCCAAGAGCAATGGCCATATTAGCCAACAGGACCATATGAGAGGCGCCGGAAGAAAGGAATCCCCACCGAAGAAAAGCTGCCAAACTTGGCTGCGGAGAGCGAGCCTCCCTTCCTCCCACCTGCTGTGGCTTCCACACCCCAGCCCCGTGCTCAAGCAGGTATTACGGTCTGCCTCGCAGCTCCTCCACCTCTAATTCAAGGAGGATTCTGGCAACATTTCACGCACAGTATAAAAACCAACAAAGCAAGAGACCAAGCCAACTAAAAAACTTGTACTGGGTATTCACCAAAAAAAAAAAAAAAAAGTGGGGGGGAATGATGCTTCTAAGCGAGTAGAATTTGAGTAAAAATTCCACAATGCAGCTGACATTGCTCATGAAAGCCTAAAGGACAGCAGGATTCTCAATTGCTACCAAACCACTGAAAACCCTATGAAGGTTGTAGTAGATCTTCCTATATACTCCAATTTGGGTGAAACTGGCAACAAATGAACGCTAGGACTACTTTCTTCAACTAGAGTGTTAGATTCATCAGTGAACTACAGCATTCAGAGTTAATTACTATAAAGTAAAATACATAGTTTGTAAGAGTAAACAACTGTGTAAATCCTAACCATCTATATAATCCATTGACATCTCATGATGTCATTTGACAAATACACAAACATAATCATCCCACCTTAAAAGAACATAAAAAAATAAAACCCCCCAAAAGGCCACTGTCTCCTTGCATCTTCGTACCCATGACTTGTTTCAGACTTAATTCATATGAACTTACTTAATGCTGCAATTCGCAAAGGTACGAGTGATGGCAGACTCTTGTAACAGGGCAGCTTTGTTAAAGCTGAGTCTTCAGCCTCACACAAGTTTAATAGCTGTAAAAAATAAAATAATTTAGCCAGCTCCTACTGTGAAGACACAGTAACCTTGAAAATAACAGAACACAGCAATCTTACCCACACACAACACAATTAACAACTGACAAACTAAACTCAAACCCTAGGAAATTTAGTATCAAATGTGACACAACTTCCTTCTAAAGCAAACTCTGTCAACCTCATTAGTGAAATAAATTCTTAGATACTTTCTCACCCACTCTGATACCATTAACACTGTTTCTTGACCCAGGGAATCACTTGAACTGCAAATATGATGGCAGCTACGTCTCCCTCCTTATTCAGAGCTGCTTCCCAGTGCCATGAGCCAGTGTTCAACAAACACATGCTGTAATTCAATACTGGAGTCGTAACACTTTTCTCCCCCCAAGGACAGAAAAGTATAAAGAAAGGAGTTGAAAGTCACAGAGAATATCATAACTCAGAGATTCCTGTGGCTATCTTTCTGGACATTTTATCATACCCCAGTATATATTAATATATCTAATACACAAAACATCATATACGTTGTTCTAGTACTGTTTTCCCCTTCTATTTACATCCTGGGAAAATGGTATAAACTTTACCATTACCTTTGTTCCCTTAAATATTCCTACTTAGTATAAGATTTCAAACAGCAAAAAAGGATATATACTTCGAGCCACCACCCTCCTCCACTCCATCATTACTACTCTCCTCCTATATAAACACATGTGTGTATGCCCACAAACGTAGATAAGACACCTGTGTCTGTAGCTCTATGTAGACAAGAGTGAGAGCATATACCAGAACATGAACATACACCAGAGTCACCTGGGAAACTTGTAGATGGTCCACTGGTAGGTCTGACCCTAAACCTCCAGGGAGAGGACTCAGGAGTCTCTATTTTTAAAAAGACCCTCACGTGTTCTGATGCAGCTAGTGCACTGATAAACACTTGGGAAACCAGCTGCATTCCCTGAGATTTATCACTTAACACTACCAGGTTCTGGTCTTAAGCATAGTGAGGAATTTTCCACATAGGTTAAAACACATCTGCCTCTGGAACCACCAAAGGGAGACTTCCTCCCATTCTCCGGTGGCTCTCCTAGAACCTCTGTCAGGTCATATGAAGTATGACTCCTACACAAGGGATACAACAAGGTATAAAAGATCAAAGCTAGACCATGTGATCATAGGATTCTATGTCCAAGCAAATACATAGGACTTAAAAACTCAAGAGGCAAATTTTTCATAATTGGAAATTCAAACTTAGTGTGGATCAGAACTTGCCTCCTTACGACTTTTACTTCAGTTTACTCTGATAATGCCTCCAGCATAGGACTTGGGTCTTAAAAAAATTTCACATTGGGACTGATCACCAGACCATTACTGTATTCTACGAATTAATGCTTAGTAGAATTCGACTGTATCTACACTTCAATTTGTTTCTCTCTGTCTAATGTCACCCCATACTGGAATGTTTACAGAGAGAAACACTTGTAGGATGCCATCTGCCATTGCCCCCAACGAGAATAATCGGTATCTAGTTTCCAGAGAGCTGTCGGAGCTCAATAATGGCATTCATGTGAAGTCAGTTCTCAACAGCACACGACACGTCCTTAAGTGACGAATACATTCAATACACGGGCACGTTCCCTGAGCCAGTCTTATTCTGGGCACCCGCTAATGACAGTGATCAAAGCGGAGAGTCCGTCTTTGTCCAGATTACACCCGTAAGGCTCTGCAGAGCAAGGTGCCCTGGAGAAGGCTAACAGAGTTCTAAGCACTCCGAACACAGCCATGTCTGGTAGAACATCTCCAGTCAGCAGGCCTACCTCCTATGACGTACCTGCGCGGGGCGCTGTGCCAAGTTAGGGCTGATTACCTGGGGTCATCACCCGTGCCTTCTCTGAGTGCTGCCTGACCGGTCTTCGCGCACAAAGACAGGTTACCAGACACACGTCATCACCATCCACACCACGCCGCACCACCACCCCCCTACCTCTGTGTAGAACACCTTATGCTCCACCACGTTAAGATCCATTGTGAAGAGCCTGGGCTGCAATGTGGTGCAGAATGTGTTTCCCTCCATCAGGCCAATCTGCGCATTGGCAGGCTGATGTCTGAGCAAATGCTTCTTCGGTGGGACCATATCCTGGAGGACCTGGGGGAGGCAAGGAGGAAGCACTACCAACCAGCCATCCCTTAAAGAGCAAACACTGCTCACCACAATATCCTAAAACAATGATCAGGCTGAAAACCGTGAGATGAAAAGTTATGATGTCCTTTAGTGCGGGAAGGGAGGGTACATTCCAGATGCTAAAACTGGCTGGTGAGTAGCAACGTGTCAGATACACTGAACTCCTAAGTCTCCCGAGTAACCGCTCTTAAACAACATAAGAAAAGAGCGACCAGACTGGGGCTACAGAGATCCAGGAAGCCAGCCTTCTGTTCTTTTGATGCTGACAACTATGGATATAGCCATTAATACCAGTACATTGCTTTTTGCGTATCTGAGGTCAAAGAAAGCCATGTATGGTAGCACCTTGTAAAGCGGACACGAAATTACAAATTACATATCCTCTTCAACTCAGATTTGAAGGAGAAAGGTCTCAAAAGTGTTGCTCAAATATCCTAGTTCCAGGGACAGAAATCTCACCTCTTTATGGGGCTCCATGATCACAGTGACACTTTTTCCAGTGACCTGGGCCAAGACCTGCAGTGAATGCATGGCCTGTTTTCTCACAGTGGAATTTGGAGAGGTGACCTCTCGAACCAAGTCATGCGTCACATGGTGAAAGGACTTCTCCTGAGCTGCCACGATCTCTTCGGCTCTCTCCTCATCCTTTAAAGGTGTCGCGCATCTCATCAGAAGCTGTTCTAGGGTGGTCTTTGCCATGGCGACAGCCCCATTTGAAACCTGCAGGTGAGGGACTCCTTAGAATGAAAGGGTCATTCGCTGTGGGTCCACCCCCCACCCCACCCCAGGTGAGTTAATTTAACAAGACTACTTCCTAACCTTCATACAGTACTTCAGTGGCTAAATCACCTTAGCATTCCTGTATGTCACTCAGAAAAGAAAATGGGGATCTAGACAAACTCTTTGTATTTCCCGAATGAATAAGCTGGCAAGGTCCACCACATTCGATTTGTTTGAGTTATACTTGCGTACAGCTTCGTGAAGAATGCAACTTCCAGAGAAACTCCTGCAGCACGTGCACTATTTAGCCCCACGGCAAGAGTGAGCGGGATTATTTCCTTCTACAGAGGTACCATGTTAAGTGCTCTGGTCTGTGACAGTTCTTTATCGACACAGGCAGATACTCAGATAACCACTCAAGTCCTAAGCTGATATTGGGGGTCCTGATCTGTCCTCGTATTAAAGATGCTGTAATGAAATCTAAGCTTCTAGGAGAGCATGTGGGCAGAACTGCCTCATGCTCTTTTCCAGGCAAATCAGCTTCAGGAACTGCTTGTTTCAGTTTGGGGTCACCCATCACTCACCTCTCCAGTCAAGTCCATCATGACAAAGAGAAGCGCTTTGAGGAATGTCTGCTGGTTCTGGAGAACCCAAGTGAGAGGCAGCCGCTCCATAAGGAACTTAATGGACACCACACCCCCCAGCTTTGCATACCAGGCCTGCTCGTAGCAACAGGCGCACAAGCGCTCGACGATGTAGGAGAACAGAGGCAACTGGCACGCCTGGGGAGAAAACACAGACACACCGTCCTGCTACCCTGACTCCGTGTAACCAGTTTCTAGGATGACTACCCACAGGCACCAACACGCCCCAAACAGCAGATACTCCTCAGTCCTTCCTTACCCTCTCCTTCGAGCCCAGGATGATACTTGCAACATCAAATATCACAGCCAGGGCCACCTCCCCAATCTTGCAAAGTTCCTTTTCTTCATATGCCATACAAATAGCGATTGCATCAATAAGGACCAATGGATCCATTCCTTTCGACCCATTTTCTTCACTGTGAAACATGGCTGTGCTGGGCTGGCTGCCCACCTGGTAGCAAGGTAGCAGGAAAGGACCTGGAAGAGAGGCGGCGGCCATGGGAGAAAGTAGAGCTTATTTACACGCACGTTCTTGTCCCTCAAATGGCAAAACCACCTCATTAAAAAGTTTTTTTAGGTTTATTTTTTTAGTAATCTCTATACCCAACGTGGGGCTCGAACTCACACCGCATGATCAAGAGTCACATGCTCCACTGACTGAGCCAGCCAGGTGCCCCAGAACTACCTGATTTTTTGAGGTTAGGAGCTCAGTAAAAGCCAGCACGGGTACTTTCGAACAACTTCTGTTAAACTGCAATTACTTCTAAACTAGGTGGTCTGATTCGTACTAAGGCTCTTTTTCTGAATGTTCTCCGTTATAAACTGTGTTCTTTTTAGATCTTCTCTATGATAATGATAACCATGTATCTTCTTTTAAAAAAATCATTAAGGGCCAAGGGGTACAGCATAGAAATGAGTATGGGCTACACTCTAGACATTCCTGACACGAAGAAAAATTAAAAAGCAACCCGGCTATGACACCCAACCCACACAGAGAACAATCTGCTGTGAATTAATGCCTCGCAGGTGCCAGGCAAGATGGGTGTTCGCTATTGAGAAGCTTACAGATCTGCTGGGAAGACATTAACAGAGGAACACCGAGAGACGATCTCAGATCAACGGGATAGCACTGACTATTCAGGCCAAGGGCAAGAAGTTACAAGGGGGAAAGTTCTCGGTGTTCTGCAGCAGTCAGAGAAAGCTGCTTTGTCCACCTGGAGGGTGGGGGGCCTCGGGGACACAGAGTGCCGCAGCGCTGTTCTAGTGTGTCCACCGACCAGCGCTCGTCTGTCTTCAGACCAGCGTTCAGAAACTTCTATAGCAATTGGCAGTGTTGGGACACTTTCATCGTCTTTTGCAAGAGAACCAGTTAGCGGTGGATTAGAAAGAGAAACAAGCAGAACAAGCGTGGTCCCCCCGCCAGCCCGGAGCCTGAGGACCCCGCAGCAGAGGCGGGGAACAGCAGGGATTAGCACCGCACAGAAAAGCCGGCCGAAGGGCAGGGAAGGGAGGCTGGGCCTTGGCAAACAACACACGGTGGGGAAGACCAGCAACGAGGGAGGCCACACACTGTCTCACATGCAGAGTGTCCAGAAGTATTCCGCCCCCATTTTCATGAAAAACAAAGGGTGGAAATCTTCCACCAGGCGCACCATACAGAGAAACTTGGTAACGATTTTCAAGTTACTATTGCACCCGTCACCGAAATACCAATTACCCTGCAGTAAGCAGGAAATCAAAAAACAAAGGCCAAGAATGAACCAGCCAAACGGCTCCTCTGAAGCACCCCGTCCTGATGGCGTTTCTGCAGCAGCCCAAGCGAGTCCCATAACCACTTCCTCCACCCGACTCACCGCACTGCTGGGCAACTGCCACCATGGTGTAGTGGCGGATCAAGCTGGCGACAAAGGGCAGGGCACTGGGCCGGAGATCTTTAATGACCGCAGACATGAACGCCCCAGTCAGGGCCTGCTCAAACGTCTTCCGAGCTGGAGTGTCTTGTGCTTTGTAGCGATGTGATATGATCACATTAGGTATGGTCTTTTCTGTAAAGCTGAAAGATAAAATCGAGTCCATCCTCACAACACTGAAGTCCTAAGCTGATGATTCCACCAGGACTTACGTGATGCATTTCATTATGAACATTTATAACCGGTGGTTCTAGAGACCCCCAGTATGTTCTACATAACATGGAGCACAGGCGATGAATCAGAGCCATGTCACAACGTGGCAGCAGATTCAGTATTTTTATAGTTTTTAAAGAAAGTTCATGTCTGACTTTATTTCTTTTTTAACTAAGTAAGCCAAATTCTAAGATGTAACCCCATCGATGAGCAAACAGAAATGAAAAAGAGCTTACATTAAAGGCTGCTATACAGCTGTTATGTGTTGAAAAATCACCCCACGGGAACAGAATCAGACGAGGTTACAGACCTCACCAACAGCATGTGTACCACCCGTCACTGATGCCGTGAGAATGTGAAAACACACAGGGAAGGTCCCTCCCCCGAAATGTGGGACACACCAAGGTAACGTACACACATGATCACACAAGACCATCATCTAAGGTCACAGCCCTAACTGGTAAGAGTAAAATACAAACATCACAGGACAAATATTTGGGGAATGAAAGGATCATTGTGGACCAGAAAAGCCAAAGATCCACTGAACATCCGCCATGTGCCAGGCACTATGGATACACGAGTGAGCAACGGGAGAGAAAAGGGTAGGACCGTTGCCTCCTGAAGCTGACCACCTCAAGGAGAGGCAACCATCGGGAACACAACGACTGAGGTAAACTCTTAATTCTCAAGCACCTCCTGGTTTCTCCTCTTCGTTTTCTCTAAAAGCCCAGAAAAGCACCACTAGGCAGGTAAACATGTGAGCTTCCCGACTTGCAGGAGCATACTTAGCGCTAGGAAATCTGGGTGGTCCTCTGCACCCCTACATCCTGACGTAAGATGCACCGATCACAGGGAACCACATTCCCAACATACTTAGGGTGTGCGAGAAGCTGGTAGAGGGCGTGTTTATTGTCCTCTAGACTCATCATTGCCACCAGGAAGCACTTGATCACCTCCCACGCCTGCCTCCGGTAGTAGGGCTCAGTGTTGGCACTTTTCAGGCAGTCCAGAGCAGTTTCAATGGCCTAAAAAAACAACAAAGAAACACAAAAACTATGTTTATGCAGAAATTACATGATTACTCAATTCTCTATCTTTAAAGATTTTATTTACTTGCCAGAGAGAGAGACAGAGCACAGGTGCACAAGCACGGGGAGCGGCAGGCCGAGGAGGAAGCAGGCTCCCTGCTGAGCAGGACCCCGGGATCATGACCTGAGCCGCAGGCAGATGCTTCACCGACTGAGCCACCCGAGAGTCCCACTGAACTCTCTCTTTAGAAGATAAAAGGGTTTTCTTTTTTTTTTTTTTCTCCCAGAAAACCTACATAGCTACACACACATTTTATCCTACTCAGGTTGAGCAGGAAGGCGGGGGAAGGCACAATCACACACAAAATCATGTGAAGCCTTTAACAGCTAAGAGGCTAGTCACCCTTAAGGACAATTACACACCTATCACTCAAAAAACTGATCTGTGGTCAGGAGGCAACATTTCCCCAGGCTGTGTGCGAGAACGCAGAGAGGGGCTGCCAGGGACAGCAGCTGCCCTGCAGCCTCACACGTGGCCACACTCAGCAGGAGCATAGCTCCTCGCTGAGTCACCCCTGGTTTATGGGGCTAATTTCGGAAGTGGTTAAGGATCAATGTAACCTCTGAGCCAGTTCCCTGCCAAAAGAATAAAGGATCGCGAAGTGTGCCCAAAGTGGGATTATGTGAATGGGGATTCCCTGGCACTCAGCTTGGCCAGGCTGCTTCTTCCCTTGGCCTCAGCAGCCCCTCCAGCTGCGGCGGGGGGCTGCGCACCCTCAGCCGCCAGCCGCTGGGAAACCGGCCCCTCGTGCACCTCAAGTCCATGTGGGGCTGCAGGAGGACTTGGAAGCCTCTCTTCAAAACTCAGTTTCTGGGGCGCCTGGGTGGCTCAGATGGTTAAACGTCTGCCTTCGGCTCAGGTCATGATCCCAGCGTCCCGGGATCAAGCCCCACATCGGGCTCCTGACTTGGCGGGGAGCTTGTTTCTCCCTCTCCCTTTGCCTCTCCCCCTGCTCGTGCTCTCTCTCTCTCTCTCTCTCTCTGTGTGCGTCTCAGATGAATAAATAAAATCTTTAAAAAAACAAAACAAAACAAAAACTCGGTTTCTTCTTGAGGGAAAAACTACTCCTAAAGAGATTTTCTGGTTCTGCTTAGTCTATGCAGAGATCAAATACAGGTCAGGTACCTTAGTTTTCACTACTAATACCCACCAGCCCTGACAAGGCTGAAGCAAACAGAATCCTGTGCTAAGGAAATTACATAAATGTGGGAATGTGCTACTGACACAAGATGTTCACTACTATAGCAACTTTCAATGTAAAGACGGACTTTTAGCTGTAGTCTCTTAGGAGGAAACTAGTGTTTAACTGGCAGATATTTTTTAAAAAGGCTTGGGTGAGAAGCTGGGGTTGCACCTTCCCCTGAGGTCTGGAGAGGACCCCCCATCTATGGGACGGGGCTGGGGGAGGGTCAGGGACAACGCATGGGCGTGAGGAAGTGTGGGGGCAGGATGACTGAGAGATGATGACGGAAAATAACTCTGGAGGGACATTTACCCGTGATGGCTATCATTCCTTCCAGATGTTAAGAAAGTCGTTAAAAAAAAAAAAAAAACCACCACAGAACCCACTAGTGGGTAAACTCCATACACAGACAGGTGAGCAGGCAGGGCTCCATGGTGTGACACAACAGGACAGTTAGCCTGAGCACAGGGAGAGCTTTGAGTCGCTCCAGGCCGCAGAATGCTGGTTTAAGACCAGATCTTCAAGGAGCTCAGGAATCCCAGCTGGCATCTGGCTTATGAAACAGCTGAGTCACACAGATGCATGCAAAAGGCTACTCTCACACCTTTAAAAAAAAAAAAAATACCCAGTCTATAATGGCTAGATAATGGTAACAAAAGCTGTAAGACAAGGTGGAAAAAGGCTGGCTCTGTGATAAGGGGGAGAGTTGACCTTGATAATACGGATGAGAACCAAGTGGAACCATATGCATGTGACAAAGGACTGGGAGGGCTCAGTCAGGTGAGTGGGAAATAGCTTTCAATAAAGATAAAGCAAAAGTAGTAGAGCGGGACACTCTGGCAAGATGCTGGGGACACAGGCTGTCCATTTTTTACCCAATGAAACAGGAGTTCTAAATGGCAGGTGGAGAGAGAACACAGAGCTGTCTGCAGGGGGCTACGGAGCCAGGAGAGACAGCAGGTGCTAGGTTTGGGTAGAGAATGGGAGAGAAGCAGGTGCTCAGGAGTGGTAAGTATTGGATTAACCTGGGTTCTAAACGACACTTGAAGTAAAGCCTGCCAGGCATCAAATCAGACTAAGTTCAAGGGTCGGATGTGCTGGGTATCATCACCTCCTGCTCTGTCAGGAAAGATGAAACTGCTCAAGCGTCCAAAGTTCTCACACAGCACACCTCCACCGGCCTTCTGGTGTGATGAAAGGCCCCTTGCCAACCAAGCTGGTTCCCAAATACATTCTGTACTTCTGAGTTAGAAATTCCCTCCTAAGGGGCACCTGGCTGGCTCAGTCAATAGCGTGTGACTCTTGATATCGGGGTTGTGAGCTCGAGCCCCACACTGGGTACAGAGATTATGTAAAAATAAAATCTCTAAAAAAAAAAAATTCCCTCTCAAGAAAGTACATGTTTTATTTATATATTTTCAAATAGAAATCAGCGTTCTTAAAATGAAATGTGTAGGATCTTTAAGAAGCTCCTGAAAATTGCCAAATTTACCTTCTCCATCGGGAGCTGAAGAGATGCTTTACAATCGGAAAACTCCACTGTGATACTTGGGCCTTGAACCTCAGTCACAACATAGTGCAGCTTCTGGGATTCCTTCAACATCTTCCTGTTACTGCCACCAAATTTACCGAGTACACGGTAGGCCACGTGAGAAATGCTATCAGCAGGATTGCGCAGGGTGCGCCACAAAGCCTACAACCCAAAATACTTCCATTAAAATCCTTTCAAGGTGATGCATTCTCATGGTTCATAAATCAAAATTTGAAAGTTATAAAAGACTATTTAGCAAAAATTCTTCCTCCCATCTCTGTCCCCCAAACATGCACTTCCCCTTCTTGGGAGAAAACCACTGTTATTAGCCTTGTGTGTCCTTCCAGAAGCATTTTGTCTTTAAAGAAAATGCACACATAAACATAAATATCCTTCCATACCCCTGAAATACAAACGGCAGCATATGATAAGTATCGCAGAGCTCAAAAGCAAGAAAACTAAGCAACATATGGTTTAAGCATATATGCAAAATAGGATCAGAAGCAATGGAGGGAAATGCTAATTACTGATAAAGTTCTTGTCCTGGGGTTTGAGGGTGAGTGCTCAGGTTTTTCCTCCTATTGTTAGCCTTTATAATGTACAAACATGACAAATTCCTACAAATAGGACAGACAAACTCTCTTATACGTTTCAAACCTCACATTAGAAAGGATGGTGAAGAGGGGAAACACGGATGATGACAGGACGTGCCTTACAGGAATACATGACAAGGACGTGTACCTCGTACTTACAATTAGTGTTAAGGACCACACTCACTCACCTGTTTCAAAAAACTCTTGCCAATTTTCCCACATTCCCTTACCTGGACTATCTTAAGTCCTAAAAATTACTATGTCTGTCTATTTAAGTCAATTTTCTTAAATCACTTTCCATAACAATGTCAGATAGACAACATAAAATCTTGAACTTTTCTTTAAAGCAAAATTTCAATTTCTCTTACGTCCCTAAAGGTCCCAAAAGACTTGTCCTTAATGAATACCTGTGGAGAGATGCTAAGCCTCCCTACCTCCACCCCAGAACCCAGCCCAACCACTCCTCATGTATCCTCAGGAAAGGGAAATTCTGCTTCACTCCCCAGGAGGGGGTGGCATTGGGAATGAGTGCTGGTTGATGGGATCACAGAGAGATGCTCCTTGTCTAGTGTGGGGGCGGGGGTGGGGAGTTTACTGTCTCTCCAAAAGCAGGAAGTAGCCTTGCCCTGGTCTCTCCTTAGGGCTGTCTGCCCCATGGAATGGCAAGAGGCCCATGAGCCCATCCCTGCCGCCTCCTCCTCCTGCATGGTGCTTCACCCACACCTGGGTCAGGCCCATGGTCTGCCTTCCAGAACCAAAAGTGCTGTTCTTGAGGTAGGCTCTCGGTCGAGTCTCCAAATGACGACTGGGAGAGTGGACTTAGGGCCCTGACCCGACCTCCAGGACCATCCTCTCCCACCTAGATGGAGCCCAAATCAGGACTGGTGGGGTAAGTCTCCCACGCTCAGCCTCAAGGGCACACTGCAGTTTCCAAGCTGGACTCCTGTCTTTTAGGAGTTAGGGAGTCTCCATCATACAAAGCTGGCATTCTGACCCCCTCCTTGGGGCCAAATACTCTATACCAAAGGGGCAGATGAGTAAGTAACAGGCACCCTAAACCTCTAACAATTACTGAGTATGTTACGAATCAATACGACCGCAAAACATGAAGAAAATACCTGATATTTAACATACAGACTCTCATGAAGAGAAAATACAAAATGTTTTCACAACAATCTCCTTGATTATCTGCTTCATTTCCCTTGACCCCAAAGTGGACACCTGCGCTTCCCTTAGGAGTTTGCTTCTCTTTACTGTGGTATCTCAAGGTCTTCTGTGGGTAAAGAAAGGATCTCCCTGGCAGCACGTAGTAACTGTTAACACCTGCCTTCATAGGTCATCAACTGAATGAGGATGTGCCACTTGTGAAAGCCCTCCGAAAAAGGGAAATACCACAAAACGAATGTCTACTCCATACATACAGTATTTCTTCACATCTTTTCCTAAGCCAGAAGACTCCTAAAGTTGAAAGCTATATCACTTCATCTTGCAGAGAGCCCCACGTGGGGCACAGGGAGCTCAATGGAGGCCCGTCACTTCTGGAGACCACTAGCCTAAAATTCCCAGTAAAAACTAGATACGTGAACACCCAGCGTCCCGCCCTGTGCTGGCACTGCTGAGAACACGAGCTTACCTGCATGAGCTCCGCGCGGACTGGCTGAATGTGGTCATAGAGGAAATCAGGCTGCAGGTTGTCCACACACAACTCCAGGGTCCTCAGGCCTTGGCTGACCAACGTCTGTGACCCATTGAGAGCAGACACCAAGGGGTCCATTAGCATGGGCAGGTAGGGCAAGAGCGAGCTCAGGCGCACGGGCACCGTGAGACACAGCTCCACGAAGAGGTCCTTCATGTGCTGCTTATGCAGACCACTCTGCAGCATGTTCAGCCCTAAACACGGGGTTTGAGGACGTCAGAGAGGAAAGTTACTCCCAGACAGGCCAGGGTTAATTGTACCAAGTAACAGTTCCACCTTTTATTATCAACATTAATGTGACGACAGGAAGACGTTTTAGCTAAATCTTTTCTATAACCATGACCCCTTCTGTCGGTCATGTTCACAGTAACAAGAGCAGGCTGAACACAATTCTAAATTACAATTTAAGCTCTAATTACTTAACATCAATCTTAATGAAACAGTTAATATTATACAGAGATCTTTTAAAAATCGTGTTACGTTGGGGCGCGTGGGTGGCTCAGGCGGCTTGACTGTCTGACTCTTGATTTCGGCTCAGGGTCATGAGATGGAGCCCCACGTTGGGCTCCGTGCTCAGTGTGGAGGCTGCTTGGGATTCTCTCTCCCTCTGCCCCTCCCACCCCTCAAAAAATACATAAAAATCCTGTTACGTTTTCAACAAGCCCAATCCAAAGACACAGACCAGTAAGATGCATTCACCTCAAGCTTGAGGTTTACAACCTTACATCTTTTATCAGTCTTCCAACAGACCACAGTTGAGGTCTATGCTATAAAATAAACATTTTCTTCAAAAAGTCCACTTTTGTTTCCTATCAATAGAGAGGAACTTCCTTTTTACAAAGTCAACCTCCCCACTCTTCGTGAGGGTACCCTGAACTCCTTCCTAACTGAAACACGTCAGATCAGGACGCGCCCCGAGTGCTCAGAGACAAGCTAGAAAGGATGGCGAGACCCAGAGAAAAGAGGTACCACAGCAGCATCACTGGATTCAGAGTCCAAAGGAGGAGGAGGAGAGGGAAAGACCAAGTTCCCAGAAGGGGACCCACGTGAATACAACGAGGTAGGGAGAAATGAGCTTGGGGATAGCACAAAGACTGCAGGAGGAGGAAATCAGACTCCTCAGAGCAGAGGGCTCGGCTGGGGATGACCAGAGATGGGGTTAAATATGGACAGTGGAGCTGGATTATGGGTGGTGGACTTACGGCCATGTTACAGGCAATGTGGTCAACCACTTCCCAATGGCTCCTGAGTATCATATGTTGTAAACGGCTTCTCTTTAAGGAGCCCCTTTTTTAGCTCTGTATCTTGGAAGCATTCCTGCTTACATGGCAATTATAGGATTCTGCTTATGCAAATGTGCAAAAAAATAAAAATATAAACTTATAAATCAGCTTTATAATTGCCTTTTCCCTGTCTTACTCAAATTCTCTTTCAATCTAGGGATCCCTGACATTATTACTAAGCAGCCCTAGAAACCATTTTCTAGGCTTGTTTACCAAAGGCTACAAAAATACAACCAAAGCCTGACACCAGGGTGATGAAAACCTTCCAACTCTGTTCAACTCTGAGCAGGGAGGAGAAGGTCCATCCCTGAACAGGAGGGCTCCCTTCAAAGTCCCACTGCCTTTAAAGAGAGTAGGACACAAGGATGGATGGACGGACACACAGACACACACACTCCCCCCTCTGGCAGGTGACATGCACGTCCATCCCCTCACCATGACCTCCGTGGGTGCAGAGGATGAATCCCACAAACACGGGCAGCCAAACTCATACGTGCACACACAAGACTAAAAGGCAACCGAAGTCACTGCTCTGACCTTGCAGGAGGTTTGGTAGGAGAGGCAAAAACTCCTGATACAGGAGGTCATGGCTGCCTCCCCCAATGGAGCGGAAGAGAGCCCGAAGCAGCAGGAAGTAGTTATAGGGTTCTTTGGCAGTCTGTGCAAGCTCCATGGAGCTGTTCACAATCTTGTGCAGGTGGGGCTGCAGGGTGGAGAAAAGGCAGGTTAACAGGCTCTACATGAGGAGGGGCCACACCAACGGTTCACTGCAAACAGGAATGGAAGGTAATTCTGATGACTTCATTCCAAAAGGAAAAACAAAACAAGACCTTTCCAACCTTTATTTGGCTCAAATTAACTGGTCTTAAAATATACGCTGGTTTCCACCGGGGTGGCCGCAAAAGAAGTAACAGGTTCCTACGTTAGTTACTGTGTAGTTACCTGATGTTGAAAAGGTGACATCTTTTTTGGCCCTGCAATTCCTGTGAATGTGGTCACTTCCTTTATAAGACTAAATCATCAAACAAGATGAAGATGCCCATTTCCTGTAACAATCTAAATGCAAAAACCACCTAAGGGAATTGAAACTTCACTATCAAATATGATAAACACACAGTTTGGAAGAGCCGCAAAAATTGAGATTATAAGGGGGCGTCTGACTCTTCATTTCAGCTCAGGTCCTGATCTCAGGGCGGTGAGACCCAGGTACGGCTCGCACTCAGTGCAGAGCCTGCTCATCCCTCTCCCTCTGCCCCCCCCCCACTTGCTTGCCTGTGTACGTGCGCTCTCACTCAAATGAATAAATAAAATCTTGGGAAAAAACCTGAGATTATAAGGTTTTAGAAGACTTAATCGGAAAAAAATGGGTATCTCTTTAATTAAAAAAAAACACTTTATTAGCTTATAATAGCTTTAATTAATATTTTAAGCCAGATTAGCTTTTTATCTAATACTTTTCAGGTCCTGGTTTGAACATGTGACAGGTTAGGCTGCACGTGAAACGTTTTACAGGCATATTTAACGTGAACTGAGAAGTGCTGTACGGTCAATGACATGGTTTCCGATTTGCTGTCATAGGTGGCACGACAGATTTATTTTACAGACTAAATCAACCATATATATTGACAAAAAGTTCTATGAAATTTATTCTTTGAGTGTTTTTCCGGAACAATACTCCAACAACCTACGATTAGGGTTTGTTCTGTTTTTGTTATTGTTGTTCTGTATCTAACGTTAGCAAAATTTAAATTTTTTGACGATACCAAATCGTGCGGACACAGATTGAAATCAAGTATTTCTTCTTAGAAAAAGTATTTTTCTCTCATATGTTTTTTTTCAAGTATTTTTTTCAAGTATTTTTCTTTCATATGAACACGAAAGTCATGTCAAGGTTGTTAAGTGATTACTCTACAACCGAAAAACTCCCTAAGGAAACAGTCACATAAAAGCAGAGATGACCGGCGCTCTTTGTCACCATCTGTACATTTACTACTCCAGGAAAAAAAAAAAAAAAAAGATCTTGTTTACTTCCTCAGAATTCCACCACAGGAAGACATCACTCTTCAGAGACAACTGGTGATAATATTCTACTTTCTGCAAGAATTAAAATATTCTGCCTTCAGTGGAAGTGAATTTTTATTAGGTTTTCTGTTAGACCATCTGCTGCTTTTTCAGTGGTAGATGGAACCACGGGTAAGTTTTTTAGCCATTTGTTAAAATCAAATAACTGATGACATCAAATTATACTGCATTAGTCATCCACAAAAATGTCAGGACGCACATCCCTCCAAGACAGTCTTAATAAGGAATACAAATGGTTAGGATTCTTGATATAAAGGGGGAAAATAAACAACTGGTCTCGAAATGAGATGTTCACATATTGCCACAGAAAATAAGAACACAGAGTAGAAACAGAGTTAAAGTGGAGGAAGACTAACGTCATCAGAATGGTCTTCGGCTACAACTCAGTGAAGACATTTTTTCCTTCTTTGTTCCTTTCCAACGCTCAATTTTTAAAACAGGAACAATGGGTTCCTATTTTACTTGTGTAATCAATCCAGAGAAAGAAATTTGAATTAAAAAAAAAATTAGTGGTGGCAATACTACTGGCAACCCACTGCCGACCACAGGCATTCTGAAGTTCTTGCTTTAAATCACCAATACATTGAGCTCTGCTTAGAGATATATGAAACGTTTTTCACATCTGGTCCTTATTGGTTCCAAGTATTTATTAATTCAAAGAGCACTTTACAAATATAAAAAAAGCAACTCCAATCTGTGCAAAAGTAAAAACAGGAATTAAAACACAACAACAAAAAAACCCCCAAACAAAGTACACTTGGATCTAAGTGAGCTTTACCTTCAGCATTTGTTCATTTTCAGCTGCAAAGAGGGAGACGGAGCCAAAGACCAACTTGAACAGCTTGAGGTACAGGTTGGAGAGTTCCACGTGGGAGCCCATTTCGGGCAGGCGGTCCAGGAGGTACTCCACCAGAATTGTAGCAAACAGGGCCGAGGTAGTAGGGTTCGCCAAGAAGGAATTGGCAACGATCTGTCCAAACAAGACATACGTGTGACAAAAATAATCCCCTCCTCAAAGTAGCTTGAGCACAAAGTAATGAACTGTCCCAAGGTACAAAATCAAACCTGGATCAGATACTCCAAGAAATTAATTATCCGAGGGAAAAAAAATTAATTAATCTGCTGAGCACTGAGTGGAGTTCACTTCAAATACCTTAAGTCCCTTATTTTCTCCTCACCATCAAATACCAAGAGCCTACATCATTTCTACTAATGAAAGAAACTGATCCAAAACATCTTGATATTTTGAAAAAAAAAAAAAAACCAATTTTTTAAAATAAAGAATTTATTTATTTGAGAGAGAGAAAGAGAGAGAGACCAAGCATGAGCTGGAGAGGGGGAGAGGGAGAGGGAGAAGCAGACTCCCCGCTGATCAGGGAGCCCAACACGGGGCTCGATCCCAAGACCCCGGGATCACGACCCAAGCTGAAGGCAGACAAGCAACCCACTGAGCCACCTAGGCTCCCTGAAAATTTTAATATTATACCCTAATTTTTCTCTAGTCAGTTAACCGTCCAATTCTTGATTTCAGCTCCAGTCATGATCTTAGGGTCCTGAGATAGAACCCCACATCAGGCTTTGCACTCAGCAAAGGAGATGGCAGGAGGAGGGGGGGGAGAGAGGGAGAGGGGGAGGAGAAAATCTCAAGCAGGCTCCCTGCTGAATGCACAGCCCAAAGTGGGACCTGATTCCATGACCCTGAGATCGTGACCTGAGCTGAAATCGAGAGTTTGACCCACTGAGCCACCAGTTTGTTTGAGATTCTCTCTCTCCCTCTGCGCCACCCCCAGCCCCCATTCGCACATGTGCATGCGTGTGCTCTCTTTCTCAAAAAATACTAAATATTTTGTTCTATGAGCACATCCTTAGGGACATTACTTAGAAAGCCCTCAAAATAAACAGAATGCCAAGTATTCAACACTTAAACCAGTAACTTTAAAGTTAATGTTGAAAAGATATGAAAAAGGAGTTTTATACCTGAAGAGCATAATTTTTCGAGATTCTTTCCACCATATAAGGGACCGTCGTCTGAAAGATCTCTTTAAACGTTAGGGGATTCATCATGGTGAACACACCGGCAAAGTGCTCCAACACCTCCTTCTCTTCCTTCATTCTGACCGTCTGGCAGTTTGCTACTCGGATGTATGTTTGTCCATTTCCTGCTATCTGGACCTAGCACAGGCAGAAAACCCATGGACGTCAAAACTAGCCATCTCTGAATGTATTCCGTAAGTAGATTACCTACATATTTAAAACGGAACATTTCAATTAGATAATAAATGCCCCGTCCCATCTTTTAATTCACTATTCCCAGCTTAATTTTGGAAAATAATTAAAACAAACAAAAAAGCTTTCTGAAGGGTTCCTTAAACAGGAGCAAATTGAGTAAACTTAAATCTTGTTTCTCCTGCCGTCCATTTGCACCACCCGCCAGCCCGGAGAATGCACACACTGACACAGGGAGGCTCTTCCCCGTTAACGCAACGCTACGCCACTGAACAAAAGCAAACCTGGGTAGACAAATACTGCCGACTGGCCGAAATAATGACAGATGAGACTCCCAAGACCCCTTCCATCACTAGCATCCCTCTTCCACACTCGGGAGCCTGGTTCCAGGGCACTGCCTTACCTGATAAATATCTAAAGCCTGCATTGCATATTTCACAAGTTTTATGTAAATCTGAGTCTCTTTGGGCTGTAACTGCTTGTTGGGAATGAACTGAGCTTCTGGAAGAGAGAGAGCGTAATCAGTTACTGCGAATAAACCCACCCTGTGAGAAACATCACGTCTAAATAATTCAAGAGCAGAATTACCACCAGGCGCTTTACATGACGTTATGCCCCA